TTGAGAATCTTCTCAAGGTACCCACGCTGCGAAATTCACATTGCTTGGCCCGAAAAATGCGTTATCTCCATTTCTAGTAGCCGATTCACGGAGCCTAAGTCCTGCAGCTTGAACTTATGCTCCAGTTCACTGATGGCCAAGTGTTCTCCGCAATAGCAGCAATAACGAGGTTGTCCACATAGACCGTCACAAAGATCGGACTACCATTGACCACACGCCAGTAAACACCGTTATCCATTTTAGAGCGATTGAACCAGCACGATCGCAAATGTTTGTCCAGTGTCTTGTACCAGATTAATGGGGCTTGCTTCAAGCCATATAAACTGCGAAGCAACTTGCACACTCTGCCTGTACCATCGTTAAAGTATTCAGACATCTCCATGTATATTTCCACGTCTCCCCCAATTGGCCCAGTCAAGAACGCCGTTACAAAGTCGATGTGCTCGCAGAGTAGGCCAGAGTGTAGTGCTAATAGCAAGACCAACTTTACAGCCTCAAATGACACGACGAGAGCGTATGTATCCCAGACGTTTACACCATACTCTTTTTAACAACCCTTAATGGTGATACGGGCACGGTGCCGGATGACTTCTCCTCTCTGGTTGCGTTTCCGGACGAACACCCACTTGCTCGTCAGGATCTTTTTCCGTCTCGGGCGCTCAGCAAGTATCCAGGTATGGTTCCTCATGAGATCTCCAAACTCTTTGTGAAGGGCTCTACCTATTTGTCAGAATCAGGTGAGTGCAAAGCTTCATCGACTGTTTGCGGCTCCAGGAGATAGCTGACTGCTTGAATCACCAGACTAACATGAATCTCCACATCATAGTCTCGAAGACGTATATTTGGTGGTCTCACACGTGTCGACCGTGAAGCGATGTTGCCGCTCGAGAAGCGGCTTCGACATCATAGTCTTCATCGTCGCTCCCACTATCTCCTAATTCATCACAAGAAACAATGCGATCCATCAAACCCGCTGGATCACCAAACGCAATGGTGTCTTCCTCGTCCTCGTTGGTATCCATACTTTCGGTATTATTATCAGCTGTAATTTCTCCACCATTTGTATCTCCCACTGAAGGTGATCCTTCGCAATACGACAGAGCTTAGACGGTACCGCTTTGACCGCTGTTAGGCAAGTCTACAATACCGTTCCCGCTACCATCTTGCACAAAGGGTCTCAAACTTAGGAGCGTTACCTCCCAAAAGTGGTACACCCGCAGGTGTCGGCTGAGTCTGCGCCTCGGCACTGCTCACCGGAACCTCATCTCCGCTCAACAGACATCTTCCAGACGCATCTGCAGATTCTGCAGCAGGTTCTCCACCCACTTTAATAGATTGATCACAAAAAGTACGATCATCACAGCGAAAACGCATGGTAGGACGGTCATTGGGCTCGTTAGAACTGCGCTTGCTTCCTTGCGTGACAGGATACAACACCGGCAAACGAACGTAAGGAATATTCGTTGGGAGAACATACTGCCCTTTTCTGTAGCGATTAGACAGTAGATGCTCCACGTAACTACGTTCCACCGTCCAGTCTTCCTGAAATTCAACCGAGCGAACTTCATTTATATTCCCATTCACCAGATTCAAAACTCGGTAACTTTCGGAATGTTTGGCATTGCCCATGAAAAGACCTGGCTTCCCAGGATTCTCCAGTTTATTTGTACGCAACACCTTTGGTGTGAATGCAAATACGACGCAGCCCCACGTACGCAACGTAGACACGTCAGATCTAGAGCTAAAGCGACGGAAATAAGGCGACTCACCGTCAAGTGAACTGCTTGCACTGATGTTAATCACATCCATGGCAAACTGGAATGCTTCACCCCACAGTGTACTCGGTAAGTTTGCTGCGGATAGCAAACATCGAACTCGAGTCATTACAATTCCGTTCATTTTCTCGACTTGCCCGTTTTCCTCCGGACTATATGCTTTGGTTCAGATAAACTCAATACCAACTGCCTCGAGAAAAGCCATCATTCTCCCATTCAATAGTTCACGCCCTTGATCGGAGCAGAACACTTCAATACGATGTCCTTAAGCTCTGAGCCATTTGAGATGAGCCATGACTATCTCAGTTGTATCTTGCTTGCGGCGCATCAGAAATCCCCACAAGTATCTGCTCGCTTCATCCTGAACTAACTGGAAGTGTTCATAACCATCGTACGTCACAACCCCGACGTAACACAAATCACTCATTAATTTCTGGTACGGTCGGGTGGCACGAAGAGTTACTGTCTTCTTATAGGACATCCTAATCTGCTTTGATGCTTTGTACGTCCAGCATGGCGAGTTCATGTCCTCGTATAATTCATCGTCCATGCCACCAGCAACTCCTCTGCGAGTCATTTGTTGCAAAGTTGCAAAGTTCAGATGAGCATAACGCAAATGCCACCTTTCAAGCGACGCAGTACTGGTCTTCTTGGGCGACACAATCTGTTTCAAGCTACTTTGAGAACTCGGTTCACCAGTCTGTATCGACGGAGCACTGTAGGTGACAACAGCAGTTGCTTTCAGACGATAACGCCGGTTGCTCTTCAGTAGCAATAGTTCATTGTAGTCTTTGCGTAGTCAGCACACGACTGAGAATTGATCCGACTGAACTTCACTGTCCATCCGTCTGATTCCAGCATATCCATACTCAACAAATTGTCCGGGGCAGATTGCGAGAACAAGACACATTTGAATGGCAACATTAACTCTGCGTGTGGGGATTTATTATTTTTAACCCGCAAAGTTACATCACCAACTTGCTCATCTTCACTAGCCTTCCCATCCTATCCTTGGAAGAAGTGCACGTTATCCACCCGCACATTGTGCAGAACCGAGCTCTCCTTACAGATATGCACGTCGCTGGCCGAATCCAGCACCCACTCCATTTCAACATCAGTAGAAGTCTTGTTACTTGAGGTAGAAGCAACAGGCACTCCCCGCACATGGCAGCACAAAGCACTCACGTCTTTGCGCCCACGCTTGTCATTAACACTACCTCGCTGATTATTTCCTTGCCACTTCTTAAACTCGAAAATTGCAGGCTTGTCCTCCTCACTGTCCTTCCGATTTGGACAGTTTGCCCTCAAATGGCCAGCTTCTCCACACTTATGGCAAGTGCGAGTTCCTACCTTCTTTCGCTGTAATTGACCCCCTTGTTTCGGTTTGACCTTATAGCGACCTTTGCTTTTCTGCTGTTTACCCTTGTCTTGATTCTGTTGAGGCTTGGATTTCTGAGATTCACTCTGAGGTTGCTTGCCACACGATAAAATATGGGCAGGCTTCATCTCTTCCTCATGCGCCGCTCGTTCGTCAAGAGCCGACTCAGCCATCAACGCGTTGATCACTTGAGCCGAAGTGGGAACAGGACGTACAGTCATTCAATCACGAGCCACATAATGTGACGTACTTCCTCTCGGTGAGTACGGGATATATGACCGAGTAGCGTCTCTGCATAATCTTTATCTCAAATGCGCTTGCCAAAATGATGAAGCCGGCGATGCAAACTCTCCATTTGTCTTAGCCATTGCTCCATATTCTTATCAGGAGTGAAAGGATTTGACACAAACTCATCAGGAGCAAAGATGTAGTTTGGGTATTCTCTTTTAGTCCGTCTGTCCACGAACCGATTCCACATCGCATCCGCCGTCACCTCCTGACAAATCATCTCGGCGTCAGCAGCAGGTACGCCGTACAAGATGGCTTCACGAGCAGTATTGTCCTTTGCAGCTATATTTTTCATCGCTTGAAGGTTATTTCGATACGAGCCGTCCACTACAGACCAGCAATCCAACCTTGTCAGGAACGCACGTAGTTGGACAGCATACAAATCAAACTCCCTTTCATGGTTGGAGGCTGGTGCGAGATATCCAGCTTCAACGCCGACACAGCACCAACTCGAGGCACACCCGAGTTCGTAGCCTCGGTCCCATCAAATGGGTACACTCCTCCAGATGCAGAGCCACCAGAATATCCAGCAGCACCGAGGTTACTGCCGAGTGAGGAAGCTATCTCACTAGCAAAGCTACTCCTGCCAATTCCACTTGGCTGAAGCAAATCCCACACTCGATTTCCATCCCTCACTAACCCTCACTACACCACCCGAACTATGGCCTACGCTGGTTCCACCTACAGAGATTCCAGTCTAGCTGTTAGTTTGCGTAGCGTGCGATGACATCGTAGTAGCCATTCCAGGAGTCGTGACTTGCTGCGAAGAAGTCGTCATAGCTGTCGAGATTTCCACACCAACACCTTCCGGAGACAGAGCCGTTGGCGGTGTGTTGCTCTTGCTCTCACCACTCATGGCACTCACGACAAGCTCCTAACGCAATTGGGCTCACAACCTATTGTTAGTTCAGTGCGAGTGAATGCACACGCCGATAGCTTAAACGACTTAGAATAACACTCGGTTCCCACAGAGAAGAATCGGGATTGAGGAGGAAACCCCCTCGTTATACACACAGTATACACCTAACGACCGTATAGTTACTGGTTAGTCTCCCGTATAACGCGACTGGGCACAGGCAAGTTCAACCTTAAAGATAACAGTGGGCCAGCGGAGCTCGACACGCTGTCCTCACAACTACAAGTAGCAGGAGGGCCTCGATTTATCTGAAGGATCGGGCTTAGTGGCTGACCTAGCTTTACTTAAGCCGACAGACTGGTTCCTAACAGAGGAAGAGATTAGAGCGTCGCGGAGAGGTTCTCCTCGAGCGATTTGGCCACTTACACGACGGGGAATGCTGTGGACACGTACATAACGACCGCGGTTTTTTTCGATGCTGCATTTAAAGACCTCTCTTCCACCGTTAAAACTGACCTCGGGCTAATTAATGACTTTCTTAAAAAAAAAAAGCAAAAAAAAGCTTTCTAATAAGAAAATAGTCATTTCTAAGAAATACTTTAGAAGATTTCCAAATTTCACAACTTCGTCCAAAAAGTCTGCATTGGATTCGTAATCAAGACAACTTCTGGTCACTGGAGCTCATCACTTTCAAATCGAAGCAATGGCGAACACAGACGACCTAATGCAGGAGCTGTGCGGCGTGAGCGTGTCTGACATCGACACCACGCAGAATGCTGCACGGCAACTGCTGGACCATTATTTGCTCGCAACCGAGCGCGCAGTGCTGCAGAGTAACGCCAAGAACGTGATCGAGGCTCAGCAGGCTCTCAAGGATGACAGCGAGATGGCTCCAGTTTTGGCAATGGCAAAACTCATTTGCGAGGGCGAGTACGCGGACGTAATTCGTTTGCAAGATGCACAGAAGATACTACGGTCTGTGGCGCAATTGCGGAGCAAAGAAAAGGACAACGAAGACGAGGACGCTCACATTTGCGGCTGTATCGCGTCGGCACTTCAGAGCTACTTATTAGACCAATGTGACAGCGCTGAGAGCCGCCTCGTGACTGCCTACCAGATTATGTTCGTCGGTGTCGCCTTCTTCGACATGTACGTGCAGGCCAATTATACAGGACCGGCATTTGAGAAGGAGACGCTGCGTGACGTGCTCGATCTGGCCACTCGCCTCGTGTCTTCCACAGCTGACAGCAACGATAAGAAGGCGCACAGCGATGCGCTCGTGGCGCTGCAGGTGGACGGTGAGAGTCCATTTTCCATCTGCGAGTATCCACAGTTCCTGCTCATCGGGCGCTGCTTGCTGGACTTCGTGGGCAACCACGCGTACAATGATTGGTCCGTGGCTGCCAACGAGGTTGTAAGCGGCCAAAACGACAACGAAGTGTCGGATGATATTGTCGAAGGACCTGCTAGACGCCAAATTACTGGTGGAGCCGCTATCCGTGCGCTTGGCGAGATGTTAGAGGAGATAAAGTCAGCTGCGTGGTGGAATGCTCGTGCTGCTGTGGCACACGAACGTCTGCTGCTCGCTAGACAGCCATCGAACACGCTGTGGTTTGAAGCTCGTCGTGGATATATCCAGACGTTGAAGACCACCCAGCTTTTCGCCTTTGAGAAGGATACTCAATACCTGCTCGCTCGCGCGTACGTGGAGTGGGGTCTAGCTCAGCACTACTTTGACAAGAACAAGCACGGCAAAGCTACGTTCGCCCGTGCAAAGGAGATTTCTGGTGTGAGCGTGCAACTCAGCGGATCCTTGGGTAAACGCACCAAGTTCCAACAGAAGAGTGTGGCTCAGATGGTATTGCTGGCAGCATCGAAGAAAGAGCCTGCGAGTGAGGATGAAGACGCCTCCGTCTACGCCACAGCTGTGGCTGAATCGACTCACGTGGACTTTGGCGGTAAGCAGGTCACGACAGAAGGTGAAAACGCTGTTTCGCCTGCAGACGGCCTCACGGCCGAGGAAGAGCATATCCAGAAGCTTGTACAAGAAGGTGAGGCTTCTTACCGCAACGTGAATTTGGACCAGGTGGACCAAGACAATTATCTTCTGGAAAGCGTTGCATTCGAAGACCGTAAGCTCACGCAGCAGGGAAATTTGCAGATCGTTGACCAGATTGTGTTGTTGGGATTATGTCTGGACGTTAAGAACAGCAATGCCAACGATGGTTTGACCCGCGAGGAGATGATGCCGTACGTCACTCGTGTACTTGAGAACCCCAACAACTGGATGGTATACTCCACGGCACTACTGGAGCGAGCGTGGCTGGAATGCGAAAGCTCAAAGCGTCGTGAACGCGCCGTGTTGCAGATGCAAGCGCTGGTAGACCAGCACACTACACGCCTTACGATCACACAGAACACGCTCCAGTCTATCGCCGACTCGGCCCCAGCTCGTGAACGTATGCAGTTTGTGTATTCATTGGCTTTCCCTCCACGATATGCACTTAAGCGTGATCTGGCCGAGCGTTACTTCAAGCTTGGGGTTCTAGGCAGTGCTGTTGAAATCTGCGAAGAACTCGAGATGTGGGATGACGTCGTCAAGTGCTACCAGCTCTTGGACAAGCCGATGCGTGCAGAAAAACTTGTACGTGACCGTCTGGAGATTGCGCCCACGCCGTTCATGTGGGTCACGCTCGGAGATCTCACCCAGGAGCCCTCACACTACGAGACGTCCTGGATACTCTCCAAGCAGCGCTTCGCTCGTGCCAAGCGTTCACTTGGTCGCTACTACTTCGAGAAGGGAGACCATGAAGCGGCTATTCCTCATTACGAGGATGCAGTGCGTGTGGGTCCCATGCACACTGGCGCTTGGTTCACTCTTGGTGCGATCTCAATGCGCATCCACCGCTGGGCACTTGCTATGCGTGCGTACACACGCGTTGTCCAACTTGAACCGGACAATGGTGAAGCGTGGGGCAACTTGGGCTCTATCCACTTGCATAATCAACGTTACGCAGAGGCCTTTGCGGTGCTGGAAGAAGCTCTGAAGCAGAAGCGTCATATGTGGCAGATGTGGGAGAACTACGCTCTGTGTGCGATGGAGACCAAACGCTACGGCGAAGCAATGTATGCAATGCACCAGCTTCTGGACATGCGTGCCAAGCACAAACGCCCTGTGGACAGCGAAATGCTAGCGTGGCTTGTAGAAGCCATCGTGTATCCAGAGTCATTGAAAAAAATGCAGTATGAGGCTGATACCGAAGCTGGAGTCATTCAAAAGGCCTCCTCGGACGATGAGGAGGATATTGACCCCACTAGTGAGGATGAAGACTTGGCAGAGCTTGATGAGGCAGCGACAGCCACCGATGCGACACCCCCGCGGTCCGACTCGCACCACAAAAAGCAACTGGCGATGCTCTTCGGCCGCGTGACGTCTATCGTGACGAACGACGCTAAGATTTGGCAAGTGTATGCGCACTTTAATGACGGCGTGGAAGGCCGTGCCGATAAAGCTCGTGACTGTCGACTCAAACAGTGTCGCGCACTGCAAGTTGCGGGCTGGGAGCGCGAAGAGCAAAAGGTGGAGGATCTGTGTGCGGCCGCATCTAAATTGGCCGAGGACTATTTGGCTGAAGGCACCAAGAAGGCCCTCTACTCGTGCCGTCTGTACATTCGCGGCGTGCTTAAGAAAGCACAAGTGGACTTTGCGGAGCTAGAAGCTGTAAAGACGCTCGCCGCCGCGCTGGACGAGGTAAATGCTCGGGAAGCGCAGCTCTAACTTTAGAGGCAACAGTTACCACAAGAGAAGGACATGTTGCCAACATGTCATGAATCATGAGCAACATCATGACTCATGATGTTGCTCATTTATCAGCAACACGACGTTAGATTTTCATCCAATCACTTTTTGAGTTTGGTTTGAAATCGACCAGCTCAATGAAGATGTGCGTCTTCACATACAAACTTCAAGTCACGCGTTGCGCGGGCAATTTTGGCGCCCGTGATTCAGTCGCCAATCAACCACTTCGGTCTCAGCTACCAAATACAAAACTCTGTGGATAAATGCCTCCGAAGCAGGTTGCGCGGCGGGGCCCAGCCAAGAAGCGCAGACTTGAGGCCGTCAGCCCCATTGGCAAGCCTAAGAAAGCCAAGCGCGGACCTGGCAAGAAGAATAATCCCGGTGTTGTCCTGACAAATGAGCCTGAACCCGAAGTCGAGCCGCAGAACCTGATGGAACCAGAGACGACGATCTTCCTGCAACTTTTGGAGGACGACGCGCGCAGTCTACCGCCACCACCACCGCCTCTCTCTAAGCGTCGTAGCTCGTCCAAATTATCTCTCGAAAAGCACGTCGTGGAGTTCCAATTGCCCTTCAAGGAGGCAGAGATTAAGAGCCTCGAGGAGCGTCAATGGGTGCGCCGCCCACCACCGTTCGGCAAGATTAGTCGCTGCGTCTACGTGTCCACGAAGATGCCCATTGCCGACTTCCCCGTACACGAATGCACGTGCTATGAAGAGACTCACAAGTCCATGACCAAGCGCACCACCATGATGGCCAGTGCCAAGGCTCAGAAGGACAAAGAGCAGCACGTAGACTCGGAAAACCAGCATGATATAGAGAGGATCGTGTACTGTGGAGAAGGGTGCTACAACCGCATGCTGTTCATCAGTTGCTCGGATGAAACATGCTCCGCCCCGGACCCGAGTGTATGTAGCAACCGCGCAATTAAGAGGCGACAACTCAAGTCCATGCGAGTGGAATATATCCCCGGCGGCCCTGGATTTGGGCTCATCACCAACGAGGACATCAACGCTGGAGAGTTCGTCATTGAATACGTCGGCGAAGTCATCGATGACAAGGAGTGCGAGCGCAGGATGATCACGTACAGAGACAACGGCGAGGTGAGCGACATTCCCAGTGCTAGTGCTGGTATTAAAGCTAAAACTTTCTTATTGCTAGGTCAACTTCTACATGATGGAGCTGGAGAAGAACATTGTCATTGACGCAAAGTACCGCAGCAATGACTCGCGCTTCATCAATCACAGTTGCGACCCCAACAGCGTTACCCAGAAATGGTTCGTTTATCACAAATATTGAACAGAACGCAGATGTAAAGACTGATCTGCTGGGCGTGCGTGTTGAAACCAGGAATGTGGACGGCATGCAGCGTATCGGGATTTTCGCGCGCCGCAACATTGCCCCCAACGAGGAGATTACCATCGACTATAACTTCTCACATTTCGGTGAGGCTGCCGACTGCAGATGCGGATCCACTGCGTGTACAGGGAAGATGGGTCTCAAGCGGTCGAAGATGCCTGCGCTCGATCCTCGTGTGGTGGGTACTGCGAAGGCAAAGAAGCAGACGCCAGTGGATGAGGAGCCACCCGAGCTAAAACGTCCCGTTCACTTGACGTCGTTGGCGCTGTTGAAAAGCTCGCAGATGCACGACAGTTGGTTGGATTATTACGGCTTCAAGAAGCGTCGACTGTTCCTCAGTCATCGACCTAGACGTCCCAAGAAAGAGGAAGGCGTAAATGTACATAATGGCGAGCTACGCCATACTCTACCGTCCAGTAGTCCAGCCTCCGTGTGCTCTACAACGACTGAAGAGGATGTATCACTCACACCGCCACAAGCAACTCACAGTAAACCCGTCGAAAAGAAAACACGGAGGAGCAACTGGTACGAGAGGGTGATAGCGGGGGAACACCTGCCTGAAATGAGGGCTCTTCACAGCTACATTTGCGGCGGTATATCTGACTGGACGATACACCTTGCTGCAGATTTCATGACCGAGGTCTCTTTGCCTTCACCGGTTCAAAGAGGACCTGATCACCCGTTTAAGAAGCGTGTTCGTCCTAGAAAGGAGACGGCAATGCTACGTCAAGTAAGCGGGAGTAAACTCCTTCACAGACGACTAAGTCTCTCCCAAGCACGAGCTCGCTGCATTGATGAACTTGCCGCGTTTGCAAAAGGCAAGTCGAAGTGGAACAAGCGCGTTTCGTCCTCCAGATCCATTGACCCAGACCGTATTTATCGCCTGATTGACCGTGTGGATGGCAAGCAGATCTTCGTTAACACTGATCAGGTAAGTCACAGCTCAAATCTACTGGTTCTACAGGGCAGAATTATTAACTATTGTGTGTGTTAAACGTGCAGAACGACTTGAACGAAGATGCTTGCTTCCGCTGTGGCCTAGCAGGCGAGCTAATTTGCTGTGACGGCTGCCCCGCCGCCTTCCATCTTAACTGTACCAACCTTGCTATGGTTCCTCCGGATGGAATCCCATGGTTTTGCTCCGAATGTACCAACCCGAAGCATCATCAGAAGACCTCGAAGACGTCTCAAACAGCGGTCATCGCTGCTGGGGGGATTAGAAGCAGCGGTCGTACCACGCCAGCCGATTACTCTGGTCGTCATCTTCGCACGCATACAGCGCATCAGATTCCGAGTCTCAAGAAGATTTTTCATGTCCCGGCGGCGACCTCAACTAAGCGTCGCTATAAGAAGCGGCATAAAGCCACCGACCGATCATATCGCGAGCTGGAACACATGCCACTCCCCGTGTGGAACGAGAGCGATGGTGATGCTGAGCAGTAAAAAAATTACTGCAACGAAATCACGCGATGGCCTTTTGTGCAGAACTGTTGATACTTGCACGACGCTGTAGCTTTGTCTTTAAGAAAATTGGCAGATACCTAGAAATGGATGAATAATAAAAGGCTTGTTTGTTGAAAGGGATGAAAAGTACCGTGCAGCTCTCTATTGGTTGTAGAGTTTAGCTGGAACGGGGCCTTCCACGCGATCTTTTAGGAAGCCTTCACTGTCCTCCTTAGCTCGCTACAGCGCATCAATGATAATACTGATTAAAATAATCTGTGCAAGAACTAGCTAGCTCTAGAGGTATTAAAATGTGCATACCTTGATGGCTGTGACGAGTGCAGCAAACGGGCCCGTCGACTTAAGTTCAGGCATGGACTTGCCGCCGTCCATCTTGCCTGAGTATGAGTGATTGAGCTTCTCCTCTCCGGGTAGGGGCGCATATTCGTTGGAGGCATCAGCAGTAGTCGGGAAGCTTTCGAACGAGTGCACTACTTTGCCGTGGAACTTGTATGTCGCCCTCATGCCACTCATGTTGCCTTCCTTCTGCAAAAGTCAAAAGACGCTTCGAATAGTTTGTGATATTAGATATGAGAGACCGGTCCTTACAAATTGATATTGTTGCCACATTCCAGTTTTGCCACAATGATGAACGCGTTCCTCGGAGAGTTGCGCATGGTAAAGGTGCTGCACCAGCAGTCGGGCGTGTGTTTATTTACGCACCAGTGGAAATGGAACCCGCAAGCACATGCGGAGGGCGTGGATGCGCTCGTCATGTCCTTCACGCAGTTCGCGCGAGAGATCGATGGAGGAGGTGAGTTATTTAAATGAGTGTTGCATATTTCCCTGCAATTCTAACTTATGTTAAATGTAACATAGAGGTTGTGCAAGTGCACTTCGACCCGAGCAGAAATGACAAGAAGGATCGATCTGGTAGCAGCCCAATGCCCGTAGGCAGCAACCAATCTTTCCTTAAAAGTATTAAATTTGCTCAAGCTTACTAACAAATGTCCGCACTGCGCAGACATCTTCCGGAGGCCTCGTGATGATATCGCTCCAGAATGAGGTCATCCAGGCAGTTTTATTCCATGATCGAACATCCGACGCAGCGTGCACCGCTCTCAAGTCTTTTCTACAACGAATTCTTGAGCGTTTTTCAGAGGTATTCGCGCATGAGTTGGAGCAATTACAACCGCAATTGCAAGCGAGCGCCACACCTACCGCTGAAGAGGTTTGCCATTTTTATCTATGAAATTTTGAACCGAAATAATGTTGATGTGTTTTATCTCTCGTATTTTTTGCAGCGCGAAGCTGTTGAGGCTCCGTTTCGGAGATTTGAGGCCGAGCTTGACAGCCAATTGCTGCTGCAACCTAATGGTGATCATGGCTTGCAGTGAGGTGGCAATATATCGAGCTTGTGTTTTACAGAATACATTACAAATCATCGCAGGCTTTGGCTACATTTACCGCCGTTTTACAAAGTAATCCCCAGTGTATAGAGTAAATAAGATGTATCGTTGTCGTCCTCTCTTGCAACTGCTAGTCCAGCACACTCTTCCGGTGTCGCTCCCCCATTTCTACGGGTTTGTCTCCTGTGGTGAAGCCCCATAGTTCAACTTGGACGCAAGAAAACTCCTGCGAAGTGGTTAATGGAGGCGAATTAAACGTCTCACACGCGCCACTTGTCCCTCGAGATAAATCGCTATCCTGAAAGACCGAAGAGCTCAAGTGTGTTAGTCATCGTTTGTTACATTATAGCGAGTCAACTCTACTCACCAGGAACAAACCAAAGTTGCCGCCGCCCCCCATTATCAACGACTCGTCCGAGCACAGCATAAAGTAGCTATTCTTTCGACTCCATTGGTACTTAACAAATCCACCGGCAGCACTTGGGCTCGCGAACGAAAACAAGAACGATTCGCCAGTTCCATAGTAGTGGAAAGCGTGGTGCCATTCATCCGAGGCATAGCCACCAAACACATTCCCTTGGGCGTCCTTGACCACCAATAACGTCGGACTCTGTTTCCTCGCTAGTATCAGCAACGTCTCCAATGAGGATCCATTTGCTTCGACACTGTAAATTCGATACCATCGGCACAATTGGCTTGTGATCGGCAACGCATGGTCAATATACGCAAGATGCTCAATCTCCAGTATGCTTGACGGGTCCATCAGCTTCGACTTGTAGTCGTCTGGATTGTAATCAAACGAGGGTTTCTTCTTGGAGTAGCGCAATGGGGGTGACAGTAGCGATTGATCAGCCAAAGCTGCAACCCGAAAGGCGTCATCATCGACCAGCTCTGCTTGCATTTCGAGAACTTCTTCGCCCTCATCGAGACGACGTGTTCTTATCTCTTCCCATTCCACTTGTAGGTCGTTCACGGTAACGGGAGCTTTCTTCAGTAACTCATAAATTATTCCCTCTGTTTCTGTAATCACACGGGTGAAGGATGCTGCCTTTGGATCCAGCTCACTCCAAAGTTGGTCGAACACTTGGAACATGAACATGAAGAGCTTACTGAAGTACATGTCTTCGTCAAACAACTCCCAGAACGGCTCCAGCGACATCGCTACAATGTCGATCTCCGGGTGTTTCGGGCTCAAGCTGTAGGTACAAGCAGCGAGCGTCAGTCACAGCACAAAATATTTATCGCGTGAAAACTTACAACAGCTTCAAAAGCTTCACTAAGGACTCGCAAATGGACGACGCGACCAGTCCTGCGTCATAAGACGGCAACTCAGACGGCAGTGCGCGCATCTCCAGCAGCGGTAAGGCACCTGGATCAGTCTTCAACCAGTACAAAACTGCTCGCAGCATCAATACGCCACCCTTCTCAAAGTTCCCCAAGATAGTTGGCTTATTAAAGCCAAATTGCTCCCAGTTGCTCACGAGCTCCGGCTCTGTCGTTTCGCTGGTTGTGGGTGAAGACCCTCCACTGCTAGTAGCACTAGTCGGTGGCGTCGCAGCTGTCGGTTGCCTCAAATCTAGCTCCAAGCTGGTGGTAGTATTAGATTGAATTTCAGATTCCAGATCTGTTGCATTGTCTAATTTTGAGCTTTCTGTGACTTGCGAGTTGATAGAAACATCACCTCCTTCTAAGTGGTCACGAAATAATCGAGAAATCTCGTTCACTTGCTGCCTATCGGACAAAAAGTTCATCAAGGGTTGGAGCTTCATCTGATGAGACACCATGCGAAGAGCTTCTTTCTTGGCTTCCAAGCGCTCAAGCGCATCAACCACTTGCACTCGTATGTCATGAAAAATGGTCGCGTAGTGTTCGATCATCCGCTCCACTACTTGCGCTCCAACTGCTGCATACCTCACGTCTTGATACTGAGAGTGCGTTCTAGCACGCGAGCGCTCAGCCGACGAGCCAGAGTCCTTCTTGAATGCAATTACTGGAGCTAGAACAGAGGAAGCTGGAAAACATCAACGCCATTCTGCTCACAATGCTCCGGTTGCTGTAAGAAATTCATCAAGTTGATAACCCTCTTCAATACGATCTGGCAATGCACTGGCAGGTCATTTACCAAGCACGTAATGTTGCGCACGCTTGCGTCTTCATCGCGTAATTGACCAGCTGCCACGAACGCGTCGTATTTGTCATCGGTCACTATTGCGTCCGGCAGGTTCTTGAGGAAATCTAAAAGCAAGGCGCCTGCACATTGAGGGTCCAGATCTTTCGGTACCGAGCCCTCTGTCTCCACAGTCTCTCGAAGCTGACTCAAGCGGATACTCAACACAGTCGTTCGAAACAGTCGTGGGGTATCTGGGTTTTCTCTCAATATTGCAACGCAATCGTCCACAATGTTCGGCAGCGCTAGGAGTGGATCAATCAGAGCGTAGCGACTGTGATATGGATTTTTCGAGAGGGATGCCAGACTGACACCAAACACGTACTGCCACGGTTTTATACCTTTGAGACGATGTGGGAAGAAGGCCGAAGGTAGCTGGATAACTTCGTCCTCGTCGTCCTCCGTGACAGCCTCAGCTTCTTGCACTTCCAGGTCTTTTAAATCTTCAAGCTCGACTAGCACTGGTTCGGCGTCTGGGGGTGGTAGAAATGACCCAGCTCTGGAAGGTGACACCCCCACTGCTGCAGCAATATCTGCATCTGTGATTGTAGACACCATTTCTCCGCTGTTGCTTTCAGTACTAGGCTCAGGTTCCACTGATTCTGCTTGCTCTGACACATAAAATGGATCGCCGTTGACTTCAATGGCGAAATGCACCTCCCGGAGTGCAATGATCAGCTCAAGAAACAGGCCCAGTCCTTCAGAGCAGCGAACAAGCGACCATTCTTCGTAATTGTTACGGATCAAGTGCTCGCAAGCCATTGAAAAGATCATCTAAAATATCACCCACAAAATTAGATGTCAACAGCTTGCAAGAGAACGAATGCATGCTCTCAGTACCCACCATAATACTGGACTCAATAGTGTGGTTGTTTAGCGCAATCTTCAACCAGCAACGTGCTTTTCCTACGTCAGTCTGTCGGAACCACCACAAGGTTAATCCCCAATGCAGCTCAACCGTCAACATACAACCACACAAACCTCCGCCAGGAATGCTGCAGACAGCACACTCTGCACTAGCGTCGGCTCGTCCACGATGAGCGTACTGGCGTACAGCACATGCCAGTAACACAGCTGCTCCTCGTCAGTACGGGGTTTGAGCCCCAACACCAAGCATTCTTCCAATGCCACACCTGGCAACAAACAGCACTAAAACGTTTAGAATTACCTCATTGTTACAAGGATTAACGTCGATAATAACGTACAGAGTTCGCCAACACAAGAATCGCGCTCCGTCAGCTGCTGACGTTGTTCGCGGTGCAGTGACGCCACCGGTGTCCCCTCCTGTTGCCCGACAACAGGTTGCTGGTCGCCTGCTTCGTTCAAATCCGCTGCGTTTTCTTTGCGTAACACTGCCAGTGTGGCGTTCTTAAGTCGTGTCTGTAGTTCAATGACACAATATTCTTAGATCTCCTATCTCTTCGACTACAACAGCTCCAGTTCGAGTACCAGTGCGTCGTATCGTTGTTGCACAAAGGCATCGCTGGCGCCGCCTCTGTCCTCATTCCGCGTGGCCAGCCAATGCGAGATCTTGCTCAACATATCGATGCCTTGAGCAGCTCGAGAATTGATGAGCTTCTCGTCTAAGTCCTTTAAATACCCCGGACAGTTTTATCGTCTATGATTGGCCAAAAATAGGCACAAAAACTCTGCGGCAAACGAAACGACCACGGACGTGACCTCACCAGTGTACGGGTGATCAGTTGGAACCGGTCCCGGAAGATCAATAACGACGTAGCCCTATTAATAGCTAGTCGGGATTTGGAACTTCTTCTCGACCTAGATTAACACGAGTCGATCGGCAAGAATCGATCCGCAGACTGAAGTCAACTGTGTGCCATTTTTCGTCTGCCGTGCCATTGTGAGTTTTGAAACGCAATTTATTTGAAAAAAATAGCTTAAACGTACCAATCAGCATGAGTACTAAGATAACCCTTTTGACGTTGTATGCAGGTTGTGGAGACAGGATACTCAATTACTATTGTGAAGACGTGCTGCAGCTAGAAATGTAGAGCTCGTCTTGAGATCTTGAGATCTTGAGATCTTTCGCATGTACCTTTCACAGTCTAAAGACAGGGACCGTGAAACCTGCACCACACCAGACGTATTGCACGTTATTGGAACTCCGTTCCGTGAACACACTTCTGACCGCTGTGACTCTTTAAAGGTAAAATGAGGACTGAATTATTTAAGTGCTAGCGCTGCTCTTCCAGAGCTCCTACCAACACTAACGGATTCTACCCCGTTCTTATACAATGACCTGGCCCAACTGATTCTCATCTCGTGTACCAACACTTCATTGTGCCTGGTTCCCATTACGTATTCCAACACGCCCCCCTCGAAGTGCAACTTCGACTATCCACCGTCCTCAACCCCAGCCAGCTCCAGCATCGCCTTCAAGCGTCTCTTGTCAAGCGGCTTGGTAAACGTGTCGGCAGGATTCACATCACCCTTCACCTTGTGAAGGTTAATGTTTCCTTTCTGCACTTGCTCGCGCACAAAGTGCCACCGGAGTTCAATGTGTCGTGTGCGTCTGCTGTAGGTCGGATTCGTTGCCATTACATGAGCTGCTTGATTGTCAATTCCGATCCGCAACTTGACCTCATGCTCTGGTAAAATCTCCTGCAAAATGTTCCCTTCTGCTACAGCTTCCATTGTTGTCTCGCACGCGGCCACATACTCCGCTTCTGCTGTCGACAGTGCAGCAATTGACTGTCTCCGTGACATCCAGGCAATAGCTCCTCCGGATAATGTGAATACAAAGCCCGTTGTACTCTTCCGCTGCTCCGGATCGTATGCCCAGTCACTGTCGCAATACCCTTCAAGAACAATTTCCTTCGTTCTTTCTTGAGCTCTTGTGTACGTGATTCCATAGTCTAGCGTTCCGGCCACGTACCGCAGTACTCTCTTTAAGCTTCCAATATGCTTCGCTGACGGTTTGGACACAAACCGACTGAGCTGTCCCACCACAAACGCCAAATCACGTCTTGTACTCGTTGCTAAGTACATTAGCATCCCAATGACTTCACGGTAAGGAAAACTCGTGTCCGCAGCCTCTTCCTCGTTCAGTGGTGCCAGTCTAAGATTCACTTCCATGGGGTTTCCAACAGCATGGGCATTTTGATACCCAATCTTGGTCAAAATTTCACGTGCGTATTCCCTCGGTTAATAGTGATCTTCTCATGCGTCTGCTCCACTTTCACACCCAGATACTCGTTCAGCAAACCTTGGTCCTTGATACCATATTCCTTATTCAGCTCCTCGAACAAGTCCTTCTTGCTCTGCTCATTATTTGTAGCCACTAATATGTCGTCGATATATACCAGTACGTACATGATCGTATCTCCGTCAAATCGGTAGTATAAGCAGGGCTCAGTCAGCGACTGCAAGTAGCCATGCATTTTTTTTAAAACCAATTGTGAAACTCTGAGTTCCACTCACGTCCCGACTGATGCAATCCATACAGTGCCTTCAACACGACATACACGTATCCGTTGATCTTGCATGGATATCCATCAATGGATCTCAAGTACTGTCTACTCGCTAGCCAGGCATTCAGATATGCGGTATTAATGTCTCCACCATACACCATTAATCCCAGCCTTGCTGCCAACGCCAACAACAGTCTGAACGACGACATTCGTGCTACAGGTGCGAACGTCTCCTTGAAGTCAATCCCCGGCCGCAGATAGTTACCCAGGGCTACAATACGGGACTTGAAACGAACCACATAACCTTGGTGATCCGACTTCACGTTATACACCCACATTGTGTTAACAGGTGCTGCTCCTTCTGGCATCTCATTCGCCGGAATCTCAGCAATTACTCCCTTGACCTTGAGAGCTGCCATCTCTTCCATCTCTGCCATCAATGAAAAAGTCTCTCTATTTTAATCGAAGCATCACCCGTCGATTTCGTGGGATCTTGATCTCGCTCGTACGAATGGGTCGTCCATTCTTGTCCAGTACTTGAGACGAATTAATTGTCACGTTCACCATATAATCATCAAGATATGCAGGACGTCGACGCTCGTGATACTCCCGAAGTCCAGTCCGAACCTTCTTCACATTCTTCTTATCTGCTTCCTGTTTGGCCCGTTCCTCCTCTGAAGGAGTCTCATCACGGTGCGTCCGCTTGCCAATTTGTTTTGGCTGTACCAGCGCAACAGTTCCTGCATCTCCCACTTCTCCGTCTGGTTCATCATCAGTACATACCATCTCTTCGGTATCACTCTGCAATTCTGCATCCTCGCTGCCCAGATCCTCAGCAAAGACACTTGCCACTGTAATGTCCTTATTACCACCAGAATCCTCGTGTTCATCCAGCTCTTGGTCAGCTGTCTCAGAACCACAGGTTTCAGCCACAGACACTGCTTCTTCATCTTTAATGTCGATAGTATCATTCGTTTCCTGACTGTTTTCGTCCTCAGGTATTTCACCAACATCGACATTAATGTCTTCATCGAGATCACGTGATTGATCTTCATCATCTCGTGCACTCTCAACAATAACATCACCTTGCTTATCAACATCGACATGTCTGTCATCTTCCACAGCATTGTCATCGAGTTGACCAGTCTCAGCAAGTTGACTATCACCGTCCAGGCCATCACTGCCTGAAACACCGCCATTTTCATCGGCATGGCGCACACCGTCCAGACCATCACTGCCTGAACCACCACCATTTTCATCGACATTGTGCACTTGAACATGCACAGGAATACACTTCACGTCTATCCTGTGTCTGCATATCACTACACTTGCCTCCCCTCGAGCTCCCGAGTACGGCACAGTGCTCAGCTCGGCTCAAAATCAGTTTGGGTATTCAATCTTCTCCGTTGAGTGGAAATGAAGAAGAAGAAAAGATCCATCATCCTTTCCCAGTTCAGTTGCATGTCGATCACGGTACATGACGTCTTCTGCAACTCGCAAATCAGATACAAACTTCGCCGTGTGCTCGTCAGGGAAGTAAACTTTGCATCCAACTACATCTTCAGCATAACCCAACACAAAATTGATCTTCGCATGATCGCTAAGTTTCTTGCGTCCAGGAATTACTGGTACATGGACATAAGCTAGTGCTCCAAACTTCCGAATGAGATGCACGTCCGGCTCGATGCCAAGCAACATCTCGTAGGGAATTCGTCCAGTTCCCTTGTTAAACACGCGGTTCTTCACATAAACTGCGTTTCTCATGGCCTCCGGCCACAGGCTCCTCGGCAACCCCGAGTGTGCCATCGTAGACCGAGTCATGTCTCTCAATGACTGATGTGTGCGCTCACACAGGTTGAGCTGCGAACTCTTCGGTCCGACTTTCACGTGCTCAATCCCCTTCGATCGATATCATGCATCGATTTCGCCATTGAAGAACTCACTGCCTTTGTCACTCCAGACTTGCAGTACTTTGTGGGTAGCTCCGCTGATGCTCCGACCAGCCTGCCGCTCCGCCCACAAGACATATTCCCGCATGTGCTTGTTCACCACCTTGTTGTCTTTACTCTTCAGCAGGTACACCGTGACAAAGCGAGAATAACCATCCATAATCACCAGGACGGCTTCATACCGAGTAGAGTTGTTCTTGCCCGGAATCAGAAGGTCTGCATAGACCACTTGGTTCGGTCTCTTCAGTCCTCGATCCAACTTCTTGCGGTGTGATCTCATCTTCTGCTTCCCAATGTGGCACGCATCGCACGTTTCCTGCTGTCGCTGTGTCAGCATCATTCCGTGCACTAGCTCCTTGTCCACCATGGTCTTCAGATACTGTGGGCATGTATGACATAATCTTTCATGCCAAAGCTTCAGCGAACCAACACCTTGAGCGATGGTGTGGTTGCATACTGCTGCTGCTTCTGAGATCACTCTTGCTCTCTGAGTTGGAACTGCTACCTGAAATCCCCAAATAGCATCCTGCGCCGTCGCAACAGCTACAGTCCTTCCATCTCTCAGTATGTCAAAACTTCTGGTTTCACTGTTAAACTCGATAGCAAAACCTTGCTCAAAGGCAAGTCCCGGAGAAAACAAGCCATACTCTGCGTCAGGAATGTACAACACTCCATCGATATATGTTACCACTCGTTCTCCGTCTACCTCTGTCATCAACGCCACTGTTCCCATTCCTGCAATTCTTGAGGCAATGGTTGGCGTAACACCTCGGATACCCTGCAAGTTGTCCGAGTCCGCCGTGTATGACACAAACTCAGCAAAATTATCCGTGACGTGCGAGTTGGAAGCCGTATCCAGATACCGCCACCCGCCATTAAGCCGTCCAGTTTCTTGATCGCTGTCTATCAGATGTGCTTCTCCACTATCTGCCTCAGGATCACTTACTGGGTCTTCGTCACTCACTGTTTTGCCGTCACTCACGACTCCATGACCACGTGCATCTTCAACATGATTTCCAGCTTCTCGAGCTTCATCTTCATGCACGAATTCATCCTGTCCATGTGCTTCACCGCGTCCTTGAGGGTCTTCATGGACTTCACGTAACTGCCCAAGTCCTGCTACGACACCCTCATCCTGTTCACGGTCTATTTGCACAGGCATAGTTATCTCCTGTCGCACGGTGTAGTTACTCCGTGGCTTGCGCTTCTGCTCAGCGCTTCCACCATTCACCTGCACCTTTGACTTATCAGGACTATTCACACGCAGATTGTCTTCACTGCCGCAGGAATAACACTTCCGGGCACTCTTGAATCCACCAACTTTGTCCTCCTGAGAACTTCCTTTTCTCTCGAATGCTTTTCCACTTCCTCCTCTCTGATTACCCTTCTTGTCACTACGCTTTCCTCGGAACTCTCTTTGCCGAGCTGCTGCTGCGAGAATCAGCTCCCTCACCTTCTTAGGTGAGTACACACTCGGATCCGCTCCATAGTAGTTAGAAGATTTCAAATGTTCGAACTCAACTTGATCAGGCAAACTCTCCAGTAGCATATCCACCATTGTGGTGTCTGCAACGGTATGATTCAAGTCGGCCAACACAGACTTGAGGTTGAACATCTTACAGAGGTGAAGATTAGCATCACTTCCAGGGGTAAGCTTCGTGTTCCAAAGCTCGTTCTCTACGCGACGAATCGTATATGCCTTGATCGCTTCGCTCTGCTTTCCTTCATACAGACTACACAGCTCACTTCAAATTTCCGATCCGGTCTCCTTGTCGCGTATTTGGTGCAGCACGTCTGCCAGTACTGAAGTACCAATTAAGCGCATGATCTTCAACTGCTTCTTCTCAAATTCCTCTTTCTTCTCCGCACTCGCGATAGAAAGCATCGCCTTAGTCAATTCACCGACCGCGATGACTTTGAGATCTTGCTCTTTGAAGACATTCATCAGCGCCCACTTATACGTCTGCCAATCCTTGCCGTTCCAGTTTTTCGGCACTCCTTCACTCGAGTAATTCAGCGGCTTCGTTTTTGGGCTCATAACCCTATTGGAACTCCGTTCCGTGAACACACTTCTGACCGCTGTGACTCTTTGAAGGTAAAATGAAGACTGAATTATTTAGGTGCTAGCGCTGCTCTTCCAGAGCTCCTACCAACACTAACGGATTCAACCCCGTTCTCATACAATGACCTGGCCCAACTGATTCTCATCTCGTATACCAACACTTCATTGTGCCTGGTCCCCAATACGTATTCCAACACACGTGACGCCGCCAACGGAGAATGCGCCGAGTTTGTATGTCAACCGTCGGAGCAAATACAGCTTGAACCATTGGCTCCATCTCTTCAAGCGAGCAAACCCAGTCCCTGTATACTTCCCATGCTTCAAAATTGATTCTTTCAATCCACACGATGCGCATATCTTCGCCCTCCAACTTGTCCTTCTGGTGGCTCGCATAAAGGTACGATCCGCGCACGCGGTGCTGCCTCAGTCATGCCGGTCTTGTAAAACGACGAATTGGCATGAAGAAATTAGTCCCTATGATAGGAAGTGACTTAATTTGAAGCCTTCAGGTGTTTTTTTTGTCATCTACGGTAACCCTGCATTACCTGTGATTGGTAAAAAAAAAGGTACGATAATTGGACTTGGCAGCGAAAATGGTGCGGGAGTTGGCGTCGCCGATGCGAGCGCGCTCGTTGCATGCCGCCATGGAAGAGGCCTCATCTCCACGCGTAAATAAGGCGTTGGACTTCATGAGCAGCGACGATGACGACGAAAATGCTGAGGAATTCGAACAGGAGAACCGCAAGTGTAACAACTCCACCAAAGATTCAAGTCCACATAACACGAAAGCGGCGGCGGTCGGGGGAACCTTTCGCTACCGCACACGGCGCACGGAGCGCTTGGGCGTGTACGGCAGGCAGGACCCGCCGTATCGTCGGCAAGTACTTTTGTCACCCAATAAGATACAGCAACGACGATCCAGCTCAGAGCAGAGCACTCCGACGCACAGGAGACCGGGGCTTGCCGGACGGTAAGCTACTATAAAGGATTGAGAGGGGCTAGTAGAATAACGTCTGGATTGATATGTGGACGAAAGCAGGTCCAGTAGATCGGTGTCACCGCCGTGTGCGAGCCCAGCAACGTTGCTGAGCCAAAACCTTGGAGCGACTTTGTCTATGAAGAGTCCTGTGCATATGCGGCGGCGCTCGCAAGGGAAGAAAGTAGTTGTGAAGAAACTTAGTGTTGCAGACTCTCCGGTGAGTTTTTATGCCTCTGTTTGCGGCTGGTGAGGGGGTCTGAAGTGTGATTCCTTGTCGGACAGAACCATTTTGTCCCTTCGTTTGAAAGTTTGCAAACTATTCGTTGGCTTGGAGCTGGCGTATCGGCAGAAGTATTTAAGGTGTCGCTCTCATTTTCTTTGGCTCGAGCTCTATTGCGAGTACTTACTCACTCGTGTTTCCCTAACAGGTCCGAGATCCACTGAGTGGAGCGCTGTTCGCCATCAAAAAGTCGAAACAAGAGCTGCGAAACGATCGAGAACGGTACGGATTCCAGGCTTTTATGTAATAGTCGATAGTCTCCTTACTTTCTCTGGTGTCAACTTTGCTCGATTTACAGTGATGTGTTGGCCCAAGAAATCATAATCCTTGATAAGCTAACATCGTCACGACACAACTTCGACAGCATCGTGCGATATTACCAAGCCTGGCAGGAGAATGGTATGCACATCTCTTTTTTTGCGAACAAAAATGGGGGGGGCTCTGTGCTGATGACAATTGTGCAAATACAGGCTTTTTCTTCTTGCAAATGGAGCTGTGCGAGGGAGGCACATTGCAAGAGTTTATTACGACACGAAACCGAGAAGTTCTTCCCGAATACTACTTGTGGAGTATCTTACGGAATGTTGCAAGCGGACTCGAGGTCCTCGCTGAACACGGTCTTGTTCATCTGGATATCAAACCTGACAACATATTTATCACGGGAGACGGACATTTAAAGATTGGGGACTTCGGTATGGCCGGAAAAGTGGTGACATCGTCCAAAGCGTCGAGTACAATAAGTGATCTTGAAGGAGATGCGAAGTACATGGCGAAGGAGCTACTGTCCAGCGCCGATCGGCTCCCTTCGGCGGATATCTTTTGTTTTGGTACACTGCAACACATTCAAGCACTTCAATGATTATGAAAGTAGCAGAGATACTCATGGCTGTCTTCTGACGTCGTAGGTATTATGATGCTGGAAATTGCTACTGGAATGGTCTTGCCAGAAGCTGGGAAGAAGTGGCATGATCTGCGGGATGGAGAATTGCCTTCTCTTTCTTCAGAGTACTCAAAAGAACTCAGCGAGATGATTCAACAGGTAGGAACGCAATTGCCCGCATATTTTTTATTATTGGTATGGTTGACATTGAAGCTGACTGGGATCTCACTTAAACTTACAGATGATGCATCCTGATCCAACAAGGAGGCCCAGTGCAGTAGATATCATGAAAAACTGTCCTGTGCAAACTGCCACCGAGCCCATCACGCTCATCCAAGAGGTACGTCCATTTTTTGTCTTCTTGAGTGTCGTTGAAGTGAAGACAAGTATTTAACCACTCCACTTGCCCTACGAACAGCATGCTTTGAAGCAAAAAATGGTCGTGCTCACTAGAGTACGAAGCAACACGAGTCGATCGGCAAAAAACAACATGCAGACTCCTCACAAGACGCGTCTCTCAGTACCGTAAAATAAAAAAAAATCAATGCACTCTCCAAACCTGTCAATTCTTATTAAATTTTCTGAATTGGTACATTGCTCCTTTTGAGGAACCGGTCAGTAATTCCCCTATTCACTAACCGTCTTCATTAACCGCTTATAATCGACCTCTTTTTGGTTGGCTTCGATGGCGCCGACACCACAGCGCCGCGTTCAGTATCTCTTTTCTTACGTGATAACAAGAGTACGTCGCCGTGTTTGTTGAAAGTGTCCATGCCATCAGGAATAATGTGCTTACTCGAGTGTGCATGATCTTGTGAAACTACAGTGAAGTTCAACTCGACCGTGTCCTCGTCGCGCCGCAAAAGCCGTAAGGCCCACTTCGGTGCCCACTCGACCCAGCGTCGTGTGCTCATGAGCGCCCCTCTGTCCAAGGAGCTGCAGAACAAGTACAATGTAAGTTAGTACACTGGTACTTTCAGCGTTGTAAGTCCATGTCAGAAACTCGTTACGGAGTCTGGCACTTCATGGCATCGCGGGAACCGTAAGTGTCGACCCCTCTCCCAGGACGACAGCTACAAACTTCTAGCTTTGATCGTGACTTTAAAGGCTCATGGCATCCTTTTTTATTGACACATTTCAGGTTCGCAGCCTGCCTATCCGCAAGGAGGACGAGGTCATGATCGTGCGTGGCTCGCAGAAGTCCCGTGAGGGTCGCGTGACCGCCGTGTACCGCAAGAAGTTCGTCATCCACGTCGAGCGTGTGGTGCGCGAGAAGGCTAACGGCGCCTCGGTGCCTATTGGCATTGACGCCTCCAAGGTGGTCATCACCAAGCTCAAGCTTGACAAGGACCGCAAGAAGATTTTGGAGCGCAAGAACCGCGCCGTGTCCGAGACCGAGAAGGGCAAGTTCACGGAGCAGGACGTCGCCATGGCCCAGGTCGACTAAGTGCCACAGCCATCTCGAGCATTGTTATCGTAGAGAGAAGGAAAGATTAAGTGTGGTAGTGCAACATCATGGGAAGAGTGGCAACTCTCCTTGGCATTTGCCATCACCAATTACTGTCCCTTGTTTTTTTTTTACGATTGGAGCTTCTTCATCTCCTGTTCGATCATCTGCTTGAGTGAGACTGTCGGCTGGTCCGAGACGAGTTCAACGAGTAGGTTGATGAAGTCCACTTCGCGTTCAGAGAACTCACGTAATGATAACTCCTGCATCTCGAGACGGCGAAGTATCTTGTTGCATAGCGGAACCGCCTGTGGAAGCGATCGTTTGACTGTTGCAAGAAGTTTGTCTTCGCATTCTCGAGCGTACTGGTCGCGACGCCAATTCTCACCTTTGCTTCCAGTTGAGAATGGGCCATGCTGTCGGAGTTTATTCATGCGGTCACCGTGCTTCTCAACGAAGCGGTCGAGAATCGACGCCTTCTTTTTCTCCTAAACAACATGAAAGCCATCAGTTATCTTCTTTAACATACGCATGATGCTACTATACACGTAGTAATATTCACGCACAATGTCGAGGGAGGCCAGGTACATTCTGGTGGCAAGAAGCTCTTCGGTCGTAACTGCTTTCTCCTGCAAAAGCTTCTCGTTCTCATGATGTAGTTGATCGGCTTTCTCACGTGCCTGGTTCATTTCTGCGATCAATCGCTGCTTACTTAGTCGAGTAGCCACCAGATCCTCCTCCTTCTTATTCAGATCCCTATTTCACACAAGTTTTGTTAGCTTGCACTAGTTTTCAACGCGAGTTCAGCACAACATTTGCCACAACATACCGCGATAACTGATCTACACGCCGAGTAGATTCGCCTGCCATTTTACTATGGACTTGTTGTTGTCTGCGTTGCATACAAGCCGTGAATTTAGAAAACATTCGAAATTCTCTTGCAGAAATACCAACCTTTCTCTTTTCCGAAGTTCCATAATTTCTCGCTCCAATGCTAATTTCTCTTCGACTACTTGCCGGTACTTCTTCTTTAATTCAATCGAAGACCCACTTGCTCCCATCACTGCCCCCCCAACTCCGCTTGCCTGTCCAGTAAACACTCCAGTGAATAAATATTCTTATAATTGAAAGCGCATTACCAGCGGAATTTTGGCATTTACCCGGAGTTCGAGCGCGACATTTCGTGTTTGAAGTTCTTGCACTTGGGCGTGAAGAGTGCTCAGCTCCTGTTGGTACTGTTTAAATACTTGAGGAAGCGACGTGCGCTTTTCTAGAGCACGCAACTTGCTGCGAAGTCCGACATTTGCCAGTTTCATGTTCTCAATATGGACTTCAAACATTGCTCGCGTCTCTTCTTGATCCTGGATTGCTTCAGCTGCTCGAGCTTCTGCTGCTTCTTTGTCTTGCTGTTGTTCCCGCACAATCGAGAGCAGAGCTTCGTAGTTCTTCCGTAGTAAAGTAGCATCTGCAGCCTGAACTCGTTCAGCCGTCTTGACATCCAACCCATCAACATTCGGAGGCACCATCACACATGGAGAGATACCAGCCTTTTTAAATGCTTCTAGCTCGAAAGGATCCGGCTTTGATGACACTGGCTTAACGGCTTCGCAGGGCAATAGTCGTGCTGACATGAGTGTGGGTTCCACCGAATCAACCTCAGGCGAGTCAGTATAAGAAACCTCTCGATAGCGAGAATTAATCACAGGATGATTGTTTACTGCGTGATTGGATGAATGTAAATCTTCGTCTGGGTGCTGTGATCGCTCGGTGTGATGCTGCAAAATTCTTTCATTCTTTGTGCGGCTGTATCCGATGTGCGCAAAGTCTTCTTGATCTGAGCTTTGGTCAAGAATTGGTAGTGGAGTATGGGACTCCGGTATTGAACGATTAGGAGGCAGCGAATGGAGCGAGCAATGCGATACTCTTGAATTCTCAGGTTTACCCAATTCGATTTCCTTGACATCTTCCAAAGACTCGCGCACTTGCTCATATAGATCGGTAATTGAAGGCCGCGTGTCTAGTGTGGTATATTTCTCGTGAAGGTTTTCACTATCCACTCGACTGTCAAGGCCAGACAAAGGTGCTGTGTCCGATCCCGGCCGTTCAGATGCTTTAGCTGCTATACTGATCGTGTCAATAGATCCACCGAGTATGTTTAGCTTTCGTTGAGCAAATGCATTCAACCAGCTCATCGCTTCTGACTCTTCAGCTCCATTTAAAGAGGATGTTGCTGGTGGTTGCTCGAAGGACGAATGCCTCTCCAGCATATGAGAATTTACCGACGACGGCATTTCGATTTGTGGCGACAGCACCGATCGATTCGGCGTAGATCCCCTTATCTGTGCTTCCACGATGTATCTATCCTGTTCACTTTGAATGTCATGCCGTGGTGGCTCACTTGGAGAAGCTTCAAAACACAGCTGCTCAAAGGATACGCCACGAAGGGGTTTACAAACGCATGTAAAGCCTCGCAGATTGGCCACAGCATTCAGCATCTGCACGCTTTCTCGCAAACTGCTGCGTGAGTCGATCACGTTAGCATACAGGAAAGATTTAGCGTTTGCAGTCAACAAAGGCATCATGAAGTTCGATAGCACCATTTTGCCTGTAAAAACTTGTGGAACTGAGGCACGAGTGCTGCTTTGTCTTAAAGTAGCTCCAGCTTGTCGTAAATCTTGTAAAATACTGTAAAGCTCGATCTTTTCTTGTATCGATACTTGATCCTGAAAATCTTTTTGGTCAATAAGGTCCACAAGATGCACACTACTTACTTGGCCACCATGAAACAACGCCAATCGTACGAAGAAATGTGCATTCTCTGCGTTCTGTTTGCGTACGATACGATTAGTCTTAGCAGTCTGCACAATGCGAAATGCACCAGCCAGTGATTGCGCTTCCAGCGACACAAACGTCATGGGCTCGGCTGAGGAATTCGTCCTGTTACTATCTGTCTTCAACAAGTCAATCGCTTGGTTGTTTACAATAATCCAGCTGCTGATTCCCAGTCTCCAGGGTTCATTTTGAGCTGGCCGAGATCCAATGTCCAACTGAGCAAAGAAAGCGTGAAGCATTCCTACTAGCTGGCCATACAGCTCTACAACGTCATTCACTGCCATTTCAGGTTGCGGTGCAAAGCCTCCTCCGCCAACGCTTTTGCCGAACAGCAGCCGATATTTTTGAGTAGGATGTACACCCCACACGACAACGTTCGAGTTGATGCCATCTCGTGCCGTTCGTAGAGCGGGTAACGTGATTTCAGTGAAAAAGTCGATAGCGTGTGACGGCGAACTCGACGAAAACACGGAATGAAAAGTCCATTCGGCCGTAGAAACCGCTCCACCACTAGAAGAGGTACTTAGCATCCCTGCTATAGACGCATCATTTGCAGGTTTGTTCGCTACTTTCACGCAGTTTTGTTGCGGAAGAACCTCAAACACAGGCGTGGCGCGATTCGCTGCAGTGACGTAGCAGGACACGTGGATATGACTGAGTACCGGAGCTGCAGCATCATTCGCGCTTCCTTCTGCAGTCCTAGCACCATCGTTGAATCCTCCAATGCTACTTCGCTCCATTTTCTAAATAGGTAAACGTCTGTTCACCAGCATCAGCACTAGCCATAATTAACATTAAAACGACCCAACCTATGTGCGAAGAAGAGCAAAACAGGATAACCATGAAACTCATTCATAAAATAAAAATCAAACGCACCAGTGCAGTCACGCTGGATGCCGAATGCTGCGTGCTGCGCTCCAATAAAGACTTTTGCTGCTGCTTCCGACTTCGTCTTCCCTGCTTGCTACCAATATGCTAGCTACCAATACACCTGAAAGGCCCTCCCATGTCTCTGTCACTCTAGATTACATTATACTTGCTTGATGTGTGTTGTATCCGCTGCCAAGGTGCGGAGGTGGTGGCAGTAATATCTTGGCGTAAAGAAGGCAAAAAAATCATCCCGGTCTGGATTCACGGCTGTAGTTCGCATGTGGTCAATTGCTTCGCCGCATCTGCGAACGTTGGAGCGTCGTATGCCGGTCGCAAGAGCGAGAGCGAATGAGATCCGCCGTCTGTAAATGCGATCTCGGACGTCTCATCGTTCATCTCGTCCATGACGCTGTCCTCCAAAATCTCCGATCGCTCCAACGCCACGTGCATATCCGTCTTTTGACCGACCGTCTCGACAAGTTCGTCAAAAAGTCCGATCTTCCACGCAAGATGCTTCTCCTCCAAGAAGTACCATACACGGTACGCGTTCCAGAAGTGCGCGTTGTCCAGTTTCTTCACAAGTGCGCCGTTTACAGTATCGCGGAACACTTTCTGGATTCGCTGCACGTCGACATCTACATCGCTCAGGTCTACACCGTTGTTCACAAGGAACCGCAATAAAACCAGCAGTTCATACTCGGACGGACGGTAGTGACCGCTGTGGGGATAAATAGTTTTAATGACCCCGTCACTGATCACCATCATTCCTGCTGTCTGCACACATTCGCCTCCTACGAAGCTCGTATGGTGGATTCGAGGGATCTTCTTCGTCTCCTTCTGGGAGCCGTAAAGAACACCATCGCGTAAAACAAATATCCATCCATCGGGTCCAGTTTCCACGATCTCTTGCGAGACATCATGTACAATCTGACCGTTCTGGACCGAGAGCGCAAACTTCTGACGTTCAGCCGCCGTGTCACAGTACAGCACAGTCTCGCGTTCTAGTTTCGTTCTCGGTACACCAGCGACTTCAATAGATTCGTCGTCCAGCCACTCCCAGAAGCTCGGCTTTGTGGGCTCCATTGGCTGACGCTTCCACTCCTTATAATATGCTCGCAAGTTTGCTCCATATCTGTGTATTAAAAAAAAAGTTCACATTAGTTGCAAGCGGTTTCCTAAATTATCTTAGGAAACGCGAAGAACGTACCGGTGCTTACGGTCGCATACTTCCAGCCAGCTTTTTTTATCCACGACAGAAATGTTTCCTGCGCTGTAGCCCTTCACTAGCTTGGGCGAGTATTTCTTGGCCAACTTGACGATCTCGTGCATGTTTTGGTAGGTGGTTCGTCGTTTGGCACGCATGCCCTCTGCTGTCATCTGTTTGGTTCCGCTGGTTTCCTCCGTTCTTAAAAAGATTTCGACTAGATTCTGCGATGCCTGTGTGTGCAGTAGTTAGCCCACTCCCGTCTCGTGTTCGGACTCGGTCTCTGTTGTCGTCGCCACGGTGCCGTTTTTCAATATGTCGTGGCAGAGTTATCTACTGACAGCGCTGTGTATGTGCGTGCTTTGTGTGTGTTAATCGATCGAAGCCCAGGGCCAGATGACGTCTCGGTTCCTCAAGTCCAGCTAACTGCAAGAGCGCAAGCGCAACAAGGCAGCAAGTGGCACACACAGAAAGAAAACAGACAGCTTCTTTTTGCTGTCCTGTGTGTGGCGTAGGAAGGGACAAATGGCACAAAAGGAGCTCGTGCACAAACGGCTTTTTAGACGTGTGTGATTCGCTCTGCAACTTGTTTTGTGTGTGAGGATAAATCTCACTCTTCTTGGCAAATAGGATTAATGCGACAGCTGCACTTAGTACTGCAAACACAAAAGCAAACGCAGCATACAATCAAACACATGTTAGTAATCGTTAGTCAGGACCGAGTGTCCGTCACCGAGGACTCTGAGGCGACGTGCGCGCATGCAACAGCTGCGTAATCTGTACCTGTTTCTCTTTTCTGGTTTGAGCCTTCTCCTCTACAGCGCAAATTCTCTAATGAAGGCAACAGACCAAAAATCGGGTAAAATGCCCGGCTCTGTGCGAGGGAGAGTACGGTACCGCGGTGGGTCGGGTTAAATTTTAACCAACTAGATCTCCTAATTAAGATTTTGGCCAATAGGTAATCACTTCATGATCCAATTTTAGACTAATCAGCGATTTCCTTAGACAGAGCCCTAACCGGTCCAGACAGTGAACCGTACAATTTCATCTTCGCCAAGAATGTTCGGTGATGCACTTCAAAATTGCAATTGGCGGCTTCGTGCAAGGTGGCAGGTAGATCACGTGAGACGACTCACTGCTGTCGCACCATTTTTTTTTGTGCCATGGGCCAGCAGCGGCGATGTGAACGCGCGTCAAGATTCTTCTCAAAAAATAGTTTGGTATCTGCAAGATTCAGCACCTGCAACGCGACGATCTGCTTTTCCGACCCGCTCGAAATGCCGACGACGGCAGAAACATTCACGCTTGTTATTATACTAGCCGAGCGCCGCCGCTACGCGGCGGTAATTTAGGTTTTACTCTAGATTTTTGCCTTCCCGCCTTCGCTTCGCTTTGGCGGGATAATAAGTCCAAATCCTCTGAGTCCCCCATGTGCCTAAATCGACTTCTTTATTTTTATAAATCTGCGTTTCTTTTGCTACAAATTGCTGAGCTCCCAGTAAGCCGTGTAAATATTTCTACCGGTACAAAAGACTGAGACCCTAGCATCATACTTACCATGCTCATAAACGATTACGCTAGTGATCTTGGCAAAGTCTCTTTGTTGTTGTTGGCGATCACTGTACCTTAATCTTCCACCCAGAAGCACCTGCACTTCAGTCTAAAAACGCTAAATAATATATTTAGTTTAGCGTCGTGATCGATTTCACGGGCCGTTTCTGAAACCTAGATTGCAACAATGCAAAGAATATCTGTCCAGCTTGCATCAAATACCCGCTTGTACTGCCTGGTTAAGCTTGTAATAAACTGACTATTAACCACTTCGCATACCAAACTCGCTACTTTGAAAGAAAATTAAAAGTGTAACAGTTTGAATATTTAATAAAAATATTCAGGCTGTAGCATTTTCTTATGCATTGAAGTGTGTTCATTTTGTGCTGATTCAGAATTAGTCATTAGACACTCCAATCTGTGCCTGTTATGGTTATACTGTAGCCTTTGGATATAACGATGCGTCGCACGACGCCTTTTGTTGACGGCGGTATTTTTATTTGATACTTAAACGATGATTCCAGGATGGTTAAACGTAGATTAGGCTCTAAGTTGATTAACGTTTCTTTACGGGCCTACTTATAATAACCATAATTTACACCTCTCATGTTGTGTTGTTATCTTACCGCTGCATGTAAAACCTTATTCTACGCCTTGTCGGCAACGCGTCTGCCTATTAAGAAGTATCAGAATCTTGCTGTCTAAATAAACGCTTAGGAAACAATACAGTAGTAATTGTCATCAGCACATATTACTTCTTTTCCACGTCAATCTAAACTATCTATCTTTGTGGATCTAGTGACAACGTTTATAAGCACAGCTTTGTTCTTACGGCAAGCCCACACGACCGGCTACTGCTGTACATGTAACATGTACGATTTAGCAATACCAGAAACCCACTCAGATAACTTATTATTAATAATGTTAATATCTTTACAATAAAAAAATTGAAATTATCATTTTAGTCAGTGTAACTCGCAGATCCTACAGTATACTTAAACCATGTCCTCGGAAACACGCATGCTTACGTGTACGCTAAGCACCCTGCCCTCCGTTTAGTACTCAAATATCAATGCATTATGAAAAAGTATAAAATATTAAAACGATGCCGCCTTCGGACAATGTATTAGCTTTGTGCAAATCCCCATATGTAAACTGGGAAACACATGCATTTATTGATGTCAACTACACATTCTAGTTTTAACCAATTAAGGCCACCTTCGCTGCGCTCGGCAGCCAGTAGGAATATTTAAATTATTTTATCCAATGATCTGTCCGGAAAAGCGTGACAGGCACGACAATTTAGTGTGACGGACAGACAGGTTGCTGCAGTAGATGTTTAAGATAATATCGCGTCCACGCGGATTAACGGCTGCAGTTTGCTATACAGCGTATACATGTGCATTGTAGTGCAGTGCACTGAATTGTTCGAAGTCGTTGCAGTTTGTAGGCTTAGCACCACCTTGCCCGGCTATGGTGAATAAGACCGCCTACAGGTCCGCCAGCGGTGATTGCAGGTGCAACGATGATGATACTCCGAAACGCCGAGCTTTTGTCCAAATAAATGTAGATGTAACTCCTTCGCGGTGCAATCCGACAGCTCCGTTGATGTCTTAAAGGCTGGCACCACACGCAGTAAACACAGTGAGAGGCGAACAATTGTACTGGCTTCCCCCGTCGTCCAGTCCCACCCGCAGATGCACATCCACACTGGTTATCCGACGAGCGCCGAGACGACAAAAAAGGCAACAAGTATGCAACATGTTGAAGTCGCCAATGGCGTTGAACCGTGGCTGTAAGATGGCCGTCGTCGCATCCTGTCACTGCAATCCGGGAGTTACGCGAACTATCCAAGCTCCAGTCGGTTTCTGTAACAGCGATGAACAGGTAGCGCTTGAGCGTGGAAGACGCTAAATGTTGCGAGCCCAGCGAGATGGCCAGCAGCAGTGAATGCAGCACGGACTTCGAGGGGCCCGGATCTGCTGTTTCCGGCTCTACTACATGCAGTGCGGCTTCCGAGGAGCAGGAGTACGACGAGGACGACTTCGACAACTATTCGGACTCGTTCGAATTGGACAATGAAGATACCGAACCAGAAGTATCCGCTGCTGTTGCGGTCGTTAGATCTACGGGACATGATCAATTGCAAATTGGGATCCGCGTACAGGTTTTCTGGAGAGATGAGAACCAGTGGTTTGCTGGAGTGATCCGCAGCGTCGAGGAGGGCAATGAACCGTGCTATAACGTCCACTACGACGACGGCGAACAGCAATGGGAGGTGTGTTCACAGATTATTCATGCAGCTCCAAGACAAAGATATTAATGACTTGTAGCTGCAGTGTCTATCATGCATCCGCCCGTTTCCTGTCTCGATCGCTGGCACAGCTGAATGCACTCAACTCCAGCAGATGCTGCCGCTGAATGCACACGACGCACGGGCCATGATCGGCAAAAGGGCGGTAGTGTATTGGTCTGACGAAGGAGAATGGTATAACGGTATTATCAGCGCAGCTCAAGCCTCACCTGCAGCGGTGAAGATTGACTATGACGACGGTGACTGCCGCTGGGAGCAGGTAAGATCATCATATCTTTGTGTTGCTCGTCCTTGTTTTCATTCTCCGTGTCCTCGATAATATGTAGGAGCACATGTTCCATTCAATTCTCCTGCTACGCCCGACGATAGAAACACAGCAAACGCCTCTACCTTCACCTTTTGATCCTACAACTCCACCATCTCCGCCTGGGCGAGTGTTGTTTGCTCGCCCGTACAAGCAAGTTGTTAGCGACCACTTCCAGCCAATACGCATTGCTCGACCGTATCGCTCTGTTGTTGGGCACAGCGGAACTGTGATCATTCCACGCCCATACAGCGAACGCAGATATCTACACGCGTCTCTAGAGTGTTCACGATACAAGAAGCAAGGCGACACGGCTGACAGCATCGTACAGGCAACGTTATCTCCATGCTTTCCAGAACTGTGATCTGTACATTAAAACAAGCTTATGCATTCTTTCTACCGCGAACTGACTTGAGAACCTTCTTGATAGAAACGTGTGTTCCAAATGCCGACTTCGTTTGGTCAACATCGCTTCGAGTTGTCCTAGACGACGCTGCTTCCACGTCGCTGTCCACATTCTCGTCCTCGGAAAACGCGTAGCCATGGTACGAGCCGACAAAAGATGACGAACGAGCCCCAACGCCAGCGTTTGCTGTACTTGTGGCAACCGATCCGGGAGCTTCCAGGAAAGATGGCTCCACACCTGCATCAAAGCTATCAAAGCTGCCGATAGAATGAAATGATCCTCGAATACGAATATTGCGCTTCTTCTCTCGACCTTGAAATCCTGCCAGCTGATTGGGATCGATGGTATCTCCGCCGCTGGATGAACTGGAGAACGGGGACGCAATCAATCTCTCACCAAGAGGAGACGAACGCATCAGAGTTTCCTCAGGATTCTCCACTCTGGTGAAGAGCTTTGCATAGTCAACAACGGTAGCTGGTTCATCTGACCACGCTGTGTTTGATACAGATCGACGGTGCTCACGTAGCATGCGTCGCGGCGAGTTTGGCAAGCCCATGACTTCTCGTTCCTGGAGAATGTGATACATCGAAGGGCGCGAGAATCGGCGGAAGATTTTCCATAAGCCGTCACGTAACAGACTCAACGACAGCACAAGAAGGCAAACCAGCCAGAAAGTCGGCAGCTCTTGGAGATACTCCATCTCACCAGTGGCTTGAGGGAATCCCGTGTTTGGTAGCGAGATGAAGAACCCAACAGCGAACCACAACAGTACAGATACAGTCACTGTGAGCAGGAACTGCCACGTAAGCAGGAACGCCTCCAGACAGAGCTTTAAGTTCACGACGATCACCAGGTTCGTGAATACCACAAATCCCAGCGTCACAAGCCCGCCACTTTTTCCGGTCTCAGTGGCAATAACGGGGAAGTCACGGATACCGAGCCCGAAGCCTTCAAATGCCCAAGCAGAAACGAAAAAGATGACGATCGAGTGCCACACCCCGTTAAAAATCCACGGCCAAAATACGCGACGAGCGAGGAGGACATTCTTCTGTCCAAGTGCATATAGATACGGGAATTTGGCAGCACTGGTGGACGATACATCTTGGTCGAACACGGCAAAGAGAACTAGCGGCACACTCGTGTACAGCACGTTGAAACTTTGTGCAGCTACGTCCAAGATAAGCGGCTGGCCGGAGAACCCACAGAAGCATCCGAACCAGAACGTTGTGAGCACATACGTCACGTTCTTGTAAAGCATATAGCTCATGAGTTTAGCCACGCGACGATAAGCCCAACGACCGTGAACAAACAGCAGTCGTTGCAGAAAGCGGAATTGAGCTAGTGCATAGTCCGAAGCATTCACTGCCTGTGCTCCTTCCTGACCGGAAATGCCCACACCGATATGTGCTGCCTGGATCATCGCTACATCATTCGCTCCATCGCCGATTGCAAGTGTGACGCTATCGGGTTCAAACTCGCAAACGAATTCGACAATATCTGCTTTTTGTTTTGGGGATACGCGACAACAAATGACTGCTGACGCGCACTGCTGAGTGACTCGGTAGAATAGAGTACGCAACTGAGGGCGAAGCGCGTACTCAAGAGCCTGTCCGTCAATCACGAGCGCTAGCTTCTGCGTTGAGCCAGTTTGTTGACGGCTTCCACTGCTGTGTATGTTTCCAGCGAGAGAACCATATGCGGGCGTGTGAATAGCTTCATCATCAGCCTCAATCCCGACGTCGTACAAAGACTCTTCGTCTGATGTTAACCTATCGGAATGTTCTGCATCCGTCGCAACTGAAGAATACATTAGCGTTTGGCTGAATGCTGACGACATCCTTGACGCTCGACGAGTTCGTTGACGTCTTCGCTTTTGCTTTCGCTTTTGCTTTGTTGGCGCTCCAAAGAGAAAATCACTGACAGCTGCCTTCGCACTTCCCAGGAACGTGTCCGTTTGGATCGAAGCTTTCCGCTTGCCATCACGACGTCGTGTTCTTCTACTTCCGTTAGCTCTAGAAGACAATGAAGCTAGAAATGGCGATGGATGAGAACATTTCGCTGCTTGATCGCCACGCTGAGATAACTCCTTCAGAGCTGCAGCAGTCGACGTGTAATCATCGCCTCCAATTTGCTGTACGTCCATGTCATGAGAAAGCAGCGCACTGGCGTATCCAATGTTCACCGCCGTCTCCATTTTATCGCCTGTGAGCGTCCACACCTTAATATTCGTCTCTTGCAGTAGACGCAGCGTCGAAGGTACACCAGCCTGCAGTTTGTCTTGAACTGCTGTTACGCCCAGAAGAACCAGATCACGCTCAATCTCGTTCATCAATGGGTCAATGGCATTCGCACGACCTTGCCGTCGCTTAACTAGCTCTTCCATTGATGCATGTGCTTGCGTATAACGTGCGTTCCAGTCCTCATACTCTTGCCGACTGATTATTTTATAAGCGAGACAAAGTGTCCGCATACCATCCTTTGCGTACAGTGTAAGCTGGTCCGAAGCTTGTTCATAGGACATCCCACCTGGCATTGTCGCTTGATCTGCAGCAAGTCGCTCAAAAATGACATTGTCGGCACCTTTACAAAGGAGTTCGATCGTCCCATCTGGAGTCTCCACGACCACTGTCATGCGCTTGCGGTCGCTGTCAAACTCAAGCACGTTCAGTAATTTATACGAGCTAGGCGACGTCCATCCTGGCTCCAAGAGCATAACGGCGGTGGGCGTTCTGTGCACGAAGCGGACATTGCAGAACGCCGCTGCAGACACCAAGGCCTGCTCGTCGGGTGACGACGCAGAATACTCTGGGAACGACGTGCTGCACATCTCAGCTAGGGATTTCGTGGGAATCAGCGTATGACACAACGCCAAGTGTCGTAAGAAGCGACGCAGCGTCTCCGCCTGCTCTCCTCCAGCGCAAATGTCAGCGAATAGCTCTGTCGGGTCAAAGTCAACAAATCTCGGACCATCCTTTGGTTCAGCAGCGGTGGAAGACGAATTATCGCTAGGAATCTCAGCCTCCATATCTTTATCCTGCATGGGACCACCGTAATGCTTCCCTCCCACCGTGCAGTAGCGAAAAAGCATGAGATTCATTGTCAAAGTTCCAGTCTTATCCGTGAATACATGGTGTACACGACCCAGATCTTCATTCAGAGCTGAGGATCGTACCATTGCCGGCGTGTCCGACAGCTTGTCGTACATTTCTAGGTCTTGCTCGATAAAATAGGCTTGCCAATACTTGACGAACTCCAGCGACACATTCAGCGAAATTGGAACAAAGTTTTGCATGATAATGAAGTAGCGCAGATGCAACTTGGCCAGCTCAGCCAATGGGTGAGAAGTAGAAACACCGGTGAGAGTGTGATGCCGCCGCTCGCTGGCACTGAGAAGATACCAGAACGAATCTCCCTCTGTGTGCATCCAATGGGCACCGAGCAACGCACCAAGAAAACAGACGAGCTGCTGGATAAATACGATCCCGATAATAAGTCGATTGAGTCGTCGCTCCACTGACGAGGTCTTCACGACAGGCTCTGTGTTGCTGCAAAATACCTTGGTCTCATGGCCCGTAAATATCACCATCCCTGTGACGGAGCGTGTATTGCGGAGCACGCAACTCCGCAGCATCATCTGCTTTGCCGTAACCGGTACACGCACACGCACGAGGCCATCTCCAGTCATTTCGGTCTGCATTAGGCTTGCAGTCTGCACTGGAGCATCCAGTTGCGCACTGTTTGGGTTATCGGCAACTACGCCTAGCGTCTGCGCTTGAGCGGGGCTTAGTACTACTGAAAACGTGCCTTCAAAACTGGTAACGCGATTGTTTGGCTGCTCACACACCATCATACCACGCAGTTCGTTGTGTTCTCCGCCATCAGTTGCGCGGCTTTTGCTGTTTGACTCGCGACACAGCGCAGCCACCAACGGGATCGCCGTGCGGATTTTTAGGTTAGTTTCGCCGTCCAGAGACTTTGTCTCAATGTACGCTAAGTTAAACTCCGCTATTTGTTGCTTCGGTGATGCTGGACGCTGGTCATCTCGGATGTCGACAGAGGAATCTGTTCCAGATTCTTTTCCTGCCTCTAAGTCTGTTGGGCCTTGAAAGTTTGCTTCTTGCATCTGCTCTCGCATCGGACCATCGTCATCATGCTCCACTGCTTCCGCTGACAGCAAAAACAAGTCCGCAGGGATCGTTTGGTCATTCATCACTTTGACAATGTCGCCTACACGTAGATCTCCCCATTGTCGCTGCTCCCAACTGCCCAAGGGAGTCAGGGCCAATACCGGTCTACTATTCGCCACGCGATCAGCTCGATGGCGCTCTCGATCCTCTAATGCCTCTTTAATTGCGCTACACACGAAAACCACTGCCAGTGGTAGCAAAATAGTTGGGATGCCGCTTGTATTGCTTACTTCTCGGATGGTCTGGAGCACAGCGATGAACAGAAAATATACGTTCGAGGGTCGCTGCAACTGCGCAAGAAGCACGCGTGGCGCGAAGTTCCATAGGCTGTACTTAGCGCTCACCACTACATTGCTGGCGAAGGGAGACGGCGGCTCCACTGCATCGTCGTGTGGTCTCTTGGCACCGCCGAACAGCCACGAAGACCGTCGACGATTGCCCAGTCGACGCGAATCGCGCTCCTCACGACGGCGACGGCGCTGAGCCGCGTTCGCTCGTGCCAGCAGCGTCTTGCGGTCTACGCGAATCACGCGCAGACGCTGGGTTGCGTCCTCTGCGTCGACTCGAGGCCCCGCCACAGCCTCGGCCTGAATCCGCATCTTGCGAGTAGAATTGCGTTTGTGTGAAATTGCGTTATGGCATCGTGGTTATGGTAAAATTCTATTTTGAATCAGACGGTTATCAGGTGTATGTCATCTGAAGGTTGATTGAATCAGATGGACCGGTTAGGATCAGACAGAGCTGACCGGGCCAGAACCGCGTTTGAGTGACAGCTTCATCTCCATCACACATCTCCAGTCGATACCGAGAAAGGCATGAGCGACGTGCAATCGCTCAGTGATTCGCCATCGTCGTCCGTAGGGCTTGGCAATTCGCTTATGTGGGAGAAGGTTGCACTGTCGCCACTGGAATTGTTGTCGGTGCAGCTGGAGCATGAGCTACAGCACGCTGAGGAGGTGGCCGCAGCATCTGCTAATGGCAAACAGAACAAGAACGGAGTGGATGTGAACGCCAACACTGGCAAAGCTGCAGGACGCGTAATCATCGAAGTACTTGCAGCCAAGGATCTGGCTCTAGATAAGAACGCAGCAGTGCAGGCGGTCAGTGTCAATGCGCAGCCGGAGCTGTACGTGTCCACGCAAGTGACTCCGCTATCAGCGTTCGAGAAAACCGCGAAGAAGCACTTGCGCACTAGCAGCGTTCCAGCTGTAGATAACGCAACAGCTAGCTGGAAAGAGTCGTTGGTGTATGAAGGCGCTAAGACCAAGAAATTCGGCGTGAAGATCTCGCTGAGCTGCAACGCTGAGGTCATTGCAGATGTGGTTCTCGGAGAGCTGGAGCTTCGCAGCGCCGATTACGAGGACCAAATGCCGCAGGAAAAGTGGTTCGACTTGACTGCACCAGCGTCTTCCGCAAGTAGTGGCGTTACTGGTAAGCTGCTGCTGCGCCTCACGTTCGAGTACTCTGAGCGCAAGCGCCATGAACGTCAGGTGGCTTTGCTTCGACAAAATAAACGTGAGAATGATGACGATATCGAGCGATACAAAACTACGGCGCGATTGGTGAATGCACCTGTGCGACACCCTGCTGCGTTTGGCAAGGAAACTGCACGAGCAGCGCTTTACTTGCCAGGCAACAAATTTCACATTGATGCATACCACCCGGCTGCGGTCAGTGTGGCACCTCTCCCGGACAAGACTCGCATTGTGACTCCGTTTGGGCGCGGCGTGGTGGTGTCCTTCCGGCCAGAGACGAAGATGTATGTGGTGCAGATGGACACGGATGCTGCGTCGAAGAACCACACGATTGCCTACTTGCGCCAGCATGTCGTGAAGGAAGAGTCTGAAGAGCCACACCTTCGTATGCACATGAAGGTGTCGACTCCGTACGGCCTGGGTGTGCTAGAGGAGATCCGCCCCCACGACGACGTTTTGATCGTCAAAACCGACTATGCTCACATGTTCATGCAGCGTAAGGACGTCAAGCTACCAGTGAAGGACATCTCGGAGATGACGACGAAGGATCTGATAAGCGAAGCCACCAAGCTCGCGGACGCTGGTAACGAGGAGTTTCGTGAGGGTAAGCTTCAGGATGCCGTGTACAGCTACCTGCGCTCGCTAGGTTTCCTTCAGCGTGTGGACCAGGACAACGCCACACACAAGGAGAAGGCAACCATCATTCAGACCATGATCCGCTGCCACCTCAACATTGGCGCGTGCAAGTTGAAGCTAGACATGTACACGGACGCCGAGATCGCGTGCACCAACGCCCTAAGTATTCTCACGGTGCTGGCCGATAACCGCGAGGGCAACGTTGTCACATGGATGGGACGTCTGGGCATGTCGGAGCAGCTCATGTTCGAGGACTGGCCCTCCAAGGCGCGCTTCCGGCGCGCACAGGCGTGTGTGAAGCTGGAAAAGTACGTAGACGCCAAGCACGATCTGCTGCTGGCGGTGAAGTTGAACCCTCGGGATAAGTCGTGCCGCACTTTACTGGAAAGGGTGAACAAGCTGGTGGACAAGCAGAAGCGCGACGAGAAGAAGGCTTGGGGCGGTATTTTTGACAGTCTCGAGGCATCCTCGTCGACCTTCGAAACCGTGACAACCAAGACGACTGCCAAGACGACGACTAGCAAGAGCGGCAGCAGCGAGGAGAAATCCATTTTCACGCGCAAGTCCAAGAAGAAGCAGGAGACTGCAGTAACTACTGCGAGCGAGGGCGAGCCCTGGTACATGTACTTGACCACGCGAGCATTGGCCACAGCCTCGGTGGTGACGGCTGGCGTGGCTGCCGTGGCACTGCTGGCGCTGAAGCCGAAGAGCTCTTAAGCAGCGACTTGGTGTGCAGGTGTTTCTTGTTGCCACTTCAACTTCGGGTGCTGGCTCTCTGGCTGGCTGGCGTCTGAGTCGAGCGACGGTGCTATCGTCTCCAGTGGGCTTCGGCAGCAGGGCGCACTTTCAATCAGAGAAGTCAGCAGCTGCGACTGGGACAGGGGATCGCACGATGTGTGGACGTGAGCGCTCCGAGGACCGTCCTTGACGCTCTGCGCCGCCGTATAACTCGCGTCCACTCGCTTTAACACCAGCGATGCAAATACACGACAGAAGGTTTGGTCCTTGTTGAAAGAGTGGGTATCTGCTAGCGGCAATGTTTCCTTTTGCAACCTAAAGCAGCACAGCAGTATGCAATGGCAAAAAAGCGAAAGGGGAGGGCAATACGGAGACTGACGTAGGTTGGTTGCCTTTGCTGCCTGCGTTCGATCCGATCTCGCATGCGCCGATGGAGCCACCTTCACCGGCTTGCCTGTCTATTTCGACGCCTTCCACGAGCCTGGCAGCGGCCTTCCATCGCCCGAACAGTCATAGCCGCCGCGTTGTGATCCCGTTGTTTTGCCTGTCACCAAGATGTGTAGTTGCCGAGTGGCAAGCGCCAGCTGGTGTTTGCGGCAACTTGCCTCTAGCCGGAGTGATGGTCACTGCCCCTTCTTGGAACGCGTGTCGACGATCCCAGGCTGTCCCGCGTCGCTTCAACTTTGCCGTTAGCATAACGCACGGCTTCCACCCTTTCTTCCGACCCCGCTATCGACCGAGGAAACCCCAGGCAATCTGTTGGCAACAGCAGTGCATACAGCTAGCTAGTAACGACCGCTCCAGTCAAGTCACATCACACCTCGACACATGCGTGCTCCGGATTTTTCCATGAAAGGCAACCTCGAGCTAACTGCCTCTGCGGTGAACCGCATGCATGACGACGGAGCAATATGAAATTTCCGATGCGAGAAGACCACCGCCCGTGGTAGGATGGCAGCGCCATCTACCGCCTACGGGGCTCCTTGTTTGCTCGAAGGGGTCAGTCCCACAGTTTTGAGCAGTCATGTTACACACTCGCCATCTCAGACGCGCCGACACGGGCGCGTCCGTTGAAAATTCGCGGCGCGAGATGGTTTTCAGCATTCAATTGCAAGTTGCAATCTCTGGCAAGCCATTGCTAAACCCACCCTCAGCTTCGTTGAGGGTTTCCGTCTTTTTGCACGCCGGCGTGGGTGGGTCCTTTCGCTTTAAGTGAACGCGGCAACCTGTCACATAGCCCGTTTCGCGAAATAACCTCCGACCCACCCGCCCGCATGCACAGCGGCATCATTCTCCAATTTGCCGTCTCCTGCTCAAGCGGACGACTGCCGATCTGGAGAGGTTTCAGCGGCACTCGACACCCAGCAACCGCCCACACTCCATGGGTCACAGCAACTCGATGAGCCCTGTTAAGAGCGGCAGCGGCGGTGGTCCTTCCCCCATCACGCCACCACAGCGCGACGGCAACCACGCTGGGGTCGACCTGGCGATGCTGGAGAAACCCGTCCACCACGACAACCCTGTCGAACCAGTGCGCGTGAAGCTGCAGGACCCTGTGGGGTACCCTTCGGACACGCTATGGTCCTCGGAAGGCCTCAAGTCGAGATCGTCGCTGCTTTTCTCCGCCTCGCAGGTGCTGAGCGAGCGACCGGCCAGCTTCGCGCTGCGTGCTCCGCGGCTGCAGTCCAAGACGGACTCGCGCTCCGTGCACAGTGCTCAGACCACGCCGCCTAGCGAGTCGGATGAAGGCGAGGCAGCGGTGGACAACCAGAAGGAAGACGAAGGTCAACGCGACGCCTCATCTGAGAACGCCGGAAAGCTGCCGACATCATGGGGAACGACAACACAGAAACGCTCAAGCAAGGTACTTGTTTCTTTTCTCTTGGGCTTTGCGAGCCAATGACTCTAATGCGATGGGTTCTCCTATCTGCTTGTGCAGGAAAATCAACCGACGGACAACCAAGAGCCTGAGTCGCATGTGCTGTCGCTAAACCTGGTACGTTTCGGTTGGAATCCCCTCGTTGGGTTGAAACAGCTTTAAGCTTACGGTTTTCTTCTACCTCTAGCAGCTGCATGACCACGACAAAGCTCCTCTGTCTCGAAGCAATGATCCCCGCGCTGTGGATATCTGGACGAACCCTCACAACAATTTTGAGGATGGAGACATCGCGTCAGCGGTGAGCCCTACGACGTCGCCGATCAAGCGAAGTTTTCCACGCTCCAGTGCTGCCACCTCGAGGCCTATCCCAAATCGATCGTCTCGTGGTGACAGCACGACTGCGGGCTGCCGAGTCCCTCCTGGACTGTCCTTGATCGATCGAATTCAGGAGGACTTCCCCCGTACGCCGTCACCTGAGTACGGGCAATTTGAGGGCGATGGTTTGCCTGCTCGCAGACCTTCGTTTGGCGGAAGAGACCAGCACAGGCAGTCAATGTTCGGAATCGACGAAGGAATGGGGCAGCTTAGACTGGGTAATTATCACTCAGCTTTGCCCTACGATTCTGTCCGTCGTTCTGGCCACGATTTTGAGGATGTACCTCGGATGCCGCATCACGCTGCGAACCCCAGACTTGCTGGAATGAACGGCCACCGACACCAATTCGGTAGGAGCACAAGCGAGCCTCCTTTTGGTGAGTCTTACGACGGAGCTATGGCACAAGGCTATGCGTCGCCGTATGCCACGAGTGGTCAAGGCATCCAGGGCTACCCTATCATGATGAGTGCTGGCAAGTCACGATGGGCTGCCAACGAGGACGGGCACTCGTTTACAGCGTCGCCTTTCGGGTTTGTGCCAGCGGACGTCGCAACTTTGCACCCTAGTTACAACCCTGCCATGTCTGGTTTCCCTGTGGGCTATGCTGGCGAATACCGCGGTATGAAGCCCGCCGACAAGATGTTCAAAGCTCGCCCAACGTATCCCGTAGCTGACCATTTGGTGTACGAGCGTCACGACTTTGGAGGGTACGCGCCTCGTCCGCAGATGCTGCACCGATCCAAGGTCGGAGCGCCTCGCCGAAGCGAATTCGAGTACTTTCACCCGATCGCTCACTCGTACTCGTCCAACAGTCTGCTGGAGGAGTTCAACGCGGCGCCCAAGTCGGAGAAATGGGGATTGTCCGCCATCAAAGGGCACCTCTTCCTCTTCGCGAAAGACCAGACAGGTTCGCGATTCATCCAGCAGAAGCTGGAGAAGGCAGACGAACGTGTCAAGGCTGACGCGTTCAACGAGATCTTCCCGAACTCGCTCTTGTTGATGACGGACGTGTTCGGTAACTACGTGATCCAGAAGTTCCTCGAGTATGGATCACTGGAGCAGCAGCAGCTGCTGGTAGAGTTGATGACTAGCAACATGATCAGTCTGGCCCTGCAAGTATACGGATGCCGAGTGATTCAGCGTGCTCTGGAGGTGACTCAAGTTGAAGAGCAACTCGCGCTGATCCGACAGCTCAAGGGCCACGTGATGAAGTGTGTCACTGACCAGAACGGCAACCACGTGCTTCAAAAATGTATTGAGGCGGCATCCTGGAAGAGAGCGGCTGAGTGCAAGGGACTGAGACCCCAGCGTTTCGTCACGGGGGAGGACATCCAGTTCATCATCGACAGCTTCGTCGGCCAAGCTGCATCTCTCTCTACTCACTCATACGGCTGCCGCGTGATCCAGCGCGTACTGGAACACTGCGCGCCGAATCAAATCCGGCCGCTGCTGGATGAGATTATTTACAAGTGCCGCGACCTTGTCAAAGACCAGTTTGGGAACTACGTCGTGCAACACGTTATCAGCCACGGCGAGCCGGATCAGCGCAACATCGTCATGCAAGCAGTGCTTCCTGAGATCGCTCGCTGGAGCCAGCACAAGTACGCCAGCAACGTCGTGGAATCCTGCTTGGAGCATGCGACGAAGGAAGAGATCAGCCAGATCGTTGACTTCATTCTTCAGTGTGACGAAAGCGGCGCGTCCTGTGCTCTACTTCCCATGATGAAACACATGTACGGCAACTACGTGGTGCAGAAATTGCTGGAGCGTGCGGATGACCACGACCGCCATCGCATAATATGTATTATTCGACACAACGAGGACTATTTGAAGCGCTTCACATTTGGGAAGCACGTTTTGAGCCGGCTGGAGCGCGAGGAGCAGGCGACCTACTATTGAGTAGACGGCTCTGGAGACCACCCCACTACTGCAACTACCGGCTCTGATGCAGGCGGAGCCCAACACAGCAGTCTTCACGATGCTCCTGCGCTTCCTGCCCGCCTACACTACCTATATAAATATTTTGCGGCGTAACGACAAGCTGATCGTTCAACACGCGCCGGTTTGAGTTCAAGACAAGCTGCAGCCACAGCATTATGACAGAAACCAAGTTTGAGCGTACGATACACGGGCCATCACCAAAAATTAATAAACAGGTTCAATCAATTGGTTCCATTTTGAATTGAAGGCTTTTTTCCCCACTCAGCATTCCCGTAATATTTCTTCTATGCCAACATAGCAATCTCTTTAGCTATCATCTACAACTCCTGCAGCGCACGCGTCACCTGCTCCGACGCGCGTGCTCCGGTGTCGACGGCGGCATGCACCGACATGCCGGGCTGCTCAAAAGCTGTCGCTTCACCGGCGAAGAAGATGCGGCCGGCCACAGGCGCAGCCAGATCGTATGACGCCGTGTCGGACTGGCCCACGCGAGGGAAAGCGTAGCCTCCGCGGATCCATGGCTCGTCACCCCAATCCTTGTACGTTCCCTTGACGTAGTATTTCCGCGCAGGAGACGGCTCGTCCACGGTGCCATAAATCATATCGAGTTGGTCGAGAAAGCCTTCAATAATCTTCTTGTGATCCACGGCGACAAATTTCTCCGCGTACAACGCACCGGCGTATCCCGTGATGAGGTACTGCGCCTCACTACCCTTGGTCTCCATGTCAGCACACAGCTCGTCGCCATTGGACTTCAAGTGGCCAATACCCTGCGTGCTGTTGATCCAGAACTCGGGCAAGAAGCAATCGGAGCATACAACACCGTGTGCGTCCTCGGGCCAGAAGCGACCGGACATGTGCAGCAGCACTTTGCCTGCACGACGCATGTCAAAAGATGCCACAGCATCGATTTTCTCCTGAGGCAACACCGGGATGTAGGCGATCTTCGAGAACACGGCAGTCGACACAGTCACAACCAGTGTGCGGCATGAGATCTGCTTGCCCTCTGTGTTGGTCACAATGACGTGGTCGTTCCGTGAGTAGTCTACGCTAGCAACAGGCCAGTTGAGACGCGTTGTCACGCCATTGGCGAAGTGATCAACGAAGCGCATAAAGCTCGGCACTACGCGGTAGTCGCCTTCGTCTTCGAGCTCAATCCACTGTTTCTCGTAACGACATGTAATGCGCATGGAAATGTCTTCCAAGGGCCCACCCGCCGTGTTAGCATACCCAGCCTCACACAGCTTCATCATGGATGGAGATAGATCCATCTCGTTGAAATAATCCCGCATAGACTTTTGAGGCGGGATCTGATCAATGTTCTCTAAGTCGCTTAAGTCGGACACGGAGTCGTTAAACTTGACGAACTCCTCGTCTTCATCGTCGTACTTAAGCATGCGTTTTTGGTCACCGATGTAGTAATAGCCGATGCCTCCATCTGGAGCTGCCTCAGTCGGACCGCCATCGCCCTATATACGCAATTAATGCAATGTATCGTAAGTGTTGCTGCTTGTTTCTTCTTTAATACAACGTAATACATTTATCGTGTTTGAAATGTATGAATCCAGACTGACTTCTCCCGGGTGGACACGTGCAAGACTCAACGACACAAGAACTGTGCCGTCGAATGCACGCAAATGAGCACAAAACTCGCCCTGGAGATGCTAATTAAGGAAACATGATCTGACGTTCACTCTTGCATTCGTATGAAGGCCAGAAGATTACTTCATTGCTCTTGCGAGCGAATCAGTGGCTGATTAATCGATGCGACTACAAGCTAAATACACACACTTAATTTGAAGCGTATCCCTCACCTGAGCCCAAGTAAAGATCTCGCGCAAACCGATGTTGTACTCCTCAGCCATGCGAGTGAGTGTCGTGTTAGCACCGTGCATGAACTCAGCGCCCATCTCAATACTGAGCCCCGGGATGAAGCTCGTGTTGCTCATCACACGGCCGCCCACGCGCTCAGAGGCCTCCACGACCAGCACGTCCTTGACGCCCTTGGCGTGCACCAGCTGACTGGCGCACCGCAAACCGGCAACACCAGCGCCGATGACAACCACGTCGTGAAATTCAAGCTCGTCGGCCGGCATTGTGAGTCGCTAGATCTGAAATGGCTCATGTGCAGGGCATGTCGATTGTACCGGAACCCACCAATCGAAGAGTACGTTCATAATTCAAGCTGTGTGGCATGTTTTGCTGCCATGCTCAACTTGACTGGACAGCAGCCTGCTCAGAAGAAATGACTTAGATTTAGTAAGGTAAGCGTACAGTGACATCCAGCGGGGGGGGGGGTACAATGCAAGACAGAACAAAACGATAAGTTGCAAATCACGGCTGCAACGTAAGCTTCTATGTTTGCAGCAACTTTAGAAAGACACAAGCTGCACTCTGGCAGCGGATACTTTCGTTGACAAGCATGCAGCTTGCCCGGAGTCGTTACTACAACTTTACCACAATTACATGATAGGTGGTTTAGAGCAACGCAGCAGCTTGCTGTGTTGTTCGGTAATTTATCGAGTTTATCTACCCGTGAATTTGAAACCAAACAATTAGACTAGAAATTTGCAAAATCTTGTGGTCGACAAAGTACGACATTTCCAGGAACGGGAGAAACCTACAACGGTGATATGGCGAAGAAGGACGAGAAGATGCGAGCGCCCAGTACGGGGGCTGCGAAACAAGAGGGTGTGGCGCACGTCCAGCTGGTCGCTAACACAGGTATGACGCTTATAAGCTACGCTATGATGGATATAAACTGATTTGATGTGTGTAGGACGTCGCTCCACCTTGCGCCCGCGTGACTACGTTGGTCTGACACGCGGCTACACGAAGAATGTCCCCGCCACGCAGGACGCCCCGAAGAACGCCACGCAGGAAGAGGATGTCCCCGCCACGCAGGGCGCCACGAAAACCGCCACGCAGGAAGAGGATGTCTTCGCCCCGAAAAACGCCACGAAGAACGCCACGCAGGACGCCACGCAGGAAGAGGATATCCCCGCCACGCAGGACGCCACGAAAACCGCCACGCAGGAAGAGGATGTCTCCGCCCCGAAGAACGCCACGAAGAACGCCACGCAGGACGCCACGCAGGACGCCACGCAGGACGAGGATGTTCCCGCTTTGAAGAACGCCACGAGGAGCGCCACGCAGGACGAGGATGTCCCCGCCACACAGGATACCACGGCTGAGGCTAACACTCATGAAAAAGAGGTAAAACACTCCCAGAACGCTACTGCTAAGGTGGCAGCTGACTCGCCGGCCGCTATCGCTGAGAGCAACATGGAGGGCAACATGGATGGCAACACTGAGGGCGACATGGAGAGCAACATTGAGGGCAGCACTAAGGGCAACATGGAGAGCAACGTTGAGGGCAACATTAAGGATAACGCCGCCGCAGCTACCCTAGCGGACTCCAACGATACGGAAAACAAAGTATCAGATTCAGGTACGAGTCGTCTACAATGTTATTTACACTTTCTAATTTAGGATTATCGACTGCAGATGACCCAGATCCTGAGCCTCCACCAAAGCGGGTACGAGTATCCACTGAAGGGTCGGCCTGTCGACCACATCATCTCTCGCGTCGCCAAACCAAACACGCGGATAACCGCAAGAAGATTGTGAAAACGCTAAACCCAGTCATCAACGACAAGCCAGGGCTACCGCAAAAGGCCTTCAGCACGTGGGAGGAGTATCAGAAAGTGCTCAAAGATTACGAAGTCGAGCACTTCCTTTGCTATCAAACTCGGAGCTCTGAGACAAGAGAGAAGCACAACAGGTGAAGGCACGATACCGATATTGACGTTTATGTCGCTGTCTCACTATGTCGTTTGCTGCTATGTTGCTTTGAGTGTTGCTTAAGCTTCCTGGTGCTAAGAAGATACCTGATTATTTGACCCACAGCTTCAAACGAGTTTGGTGTACGCATGCTGCAACTCAGGCCCCCCGAGGGCGTGGGCGCCGTGAACACGACTGCCGCTTTACAGGATGTGAAGCGAGCTTCGTTGTGCGCTCCGTCTACTCAGTTGAGGCCGGTAAACCATCGTGAAAAGTGTATATTGATGAAGCCACAGAGGTGCGTAAGATGCTGTTTTTACGCATATTTGTAGTTCTAACTGTTAATTTTTTTTAGATATCGATGCACAACCACTCCACTACGAAGGTGATCTACGATTCGTATCGTAGTGCGAAGTTACTTTTGTCGCGCAAAGTTCGACAAGAACTTGGTCTACTCGACGAGGTGAAGCCCAGAACTGCTGCTGTCAACCGGTATCTGGCGGACAAGCTAGGTGGGTGCTTTTGGTAATGGAGGGTGACCGCAGTAAACCTTAAGAATCGTTGTACATTCAAAGTTTTAATCAAGCTTAACAACATTTTGTTTATGTGCAGATATTACTATTACACCTCAGCAAACACGTAATATGCTACGGGTGCTATTGGGATCATCAGCGTTGGAACGAACCAAGTCTCTTTTGGGTGCTTTTGTCGCGGAAGAAGGAGATGATGTTCTCCTGGTGCAAGACCAAATGGATATAACCTGTGTCATTGCATTGCAAACCTCCATTCAGGAGGAGTGTTTTCGTCAGTGGGGTGACACACTGGTGATGGACTGGACGCACGGGACTAATAACCTCGGATATCATTTGGGTAAGTTGCATCGTATTTAATTGTCAGATCATACACATACTAACTTGTTTGCCTTTTTAGGAAGTCTTGTGATCACGTCGGCAACAGGACGGGGCATACCTGTAATCGACTTTCTTGCGCTAGACCAGAAAGCACAAACAATGGACCGCATCGTTGAATTCTTCAAAATGAATAACCCGTCCTGGAATTTAATTCAGACTATCGTTATCGACAAAGATTTCGTGGAGTGGCGGGTCCTGGAAAGAGCATTTCCCGGCACAAAGGTTTTTCTGTGCCAATTCCACGCGCTCACGTACGTAGAAAAGTGCTTCGTCGTCCCAAGTTTGACCTGACAATGTCACAGCGCGACAGGATGGAGGACGCGTTTGCAAAGCTAATCTACTGGTACGATTCTGTGTGTTGCTTCATGTGTTGATTATAAAAATGTTGCCGAATATTTCGGTTTGTTGTGCTGCTAAATATGTTGTGCGAAATGTAGCAACACGCAGATAGCGTTCAATTCAGAGTTGGCAGCATTCACAGGAACGTGCGAGGAGAAGTGCCGTAAGCCACTTGCCTTTTTTCGCGGAATTGGAAAACGTGCGATTCGATGTGGGCAAATTATCTCCGTGGGGCGTACTTTTCTGCAGGCAATACCACCACCAATCGAATTGAGTCCAACTGGAATCAGGTGAAGCTGCTCCTTGGTAAAAGGCCCCGTATTGATGCGACGATTGGAGGGCTTCTAGCTCGCCAAACGACAGTTATTCGACAGCTACTTGCTTCAATTCGCAAGCACTCCGTGATCTCGCGGCAACCTGACTCTGTCCCAGCCTTCCTTGTAGCTGTGGCAAAGCACCTGAGCGATTCTTCGTCTACAAAAGTGTGCACTCAGTGGGAGCACTTCATGGTATATCTGGCGGAAGCTACGTGCAAGAAAGAAAACGTGGAAGTGGGAGAGTGGATGTTGTCTACGCAGGTGCGCACATATCGCTGCAATGACTATCAGTGGACGTGTACATGCCTATTCTATCGAAGTAATCACCTCCCGTGTCAACACTTGATGTACATTGCTGACCGCGTCCACCGGTTCGAGTATCTCCCGGCATTGACGATTGCTCCACGCTGGGACATGCTGGAAATGGCGGCAATGAAAAAGGCGTTTCAAGCGGGTATCTATTCCCTTCATGACGCTCAAACTTCGATGAAAGTAGCCAGCGATGCCTTCGACGCGGTCCAGCCGCAGGATTCTGCATCAACATTATCAGCAACACAACCGAGTAGTGCAACACAGGACGCTACACAACCGAGTGGTGCAACACACGAAGCAACACATGAAGCAACACAAGTGAAAGGAGGGCTAGGAGATACCAAAACGACAAGACTGCGCGTTAGTTTGAAAAGCCGAATCATCTACGTGAAGCTGCGTCGCCGCGAGCGAGCAAATGTTGTTGTTATGTCAACCGAGGAGAAGTACTGCTATGCAAAAGCAGTATTCGAGCCCGTGATGGAGCGTCTCTCAGGTCTGTCGAGTCCTGCTTTCTGCACAGCATTGCATGCCTGGAAGGTACTGGTTCAACGTGAGCTACGTGAAGGTGTTGGAGCTGGATGAGTATCAGATACAACGACTTTGCCGAAAGAGGACGACGAAACCGACAATTCCTATTTATCAGATGCCGCATCGGAAATTCAGCCCACAGAACTTATTGATACTATGGATTTTATCCGGCAGATGAAATCGCCAAATTCACCTCAGACGGGTAATGGAGCCATACACAAATTTACGATGACAAAAGGACCAGCACCGAGTGCAACACAAACATTGAAGGCCCAAGTAGCGTTACCGTCGGCCGACCACCAAACCTATACGCGTCTCGAAGCTCACAATGAGCCAACTAAAGCGGCTGCACATGCACCCAGGAAGTGCAGTGAAGCGAAAGCCACCGCTAACTGCGGACTCGAAGTTTTTCGTATCCCTCACCCCAAGCCTCAACACAATGAGAGGAAGAAGCTGACACAGCGCAAATGAGTAAAGCACGAAAGGCCCCAGAAACTGGCTACTATTGCGCTTCCGGACAAAAACGTACCGTCATTTTCGCGACTATTGGAATGGGCGAACCACACGACTGACCCGTATCACGTGAGCGAGATACTCGGAAACTACCCTGTGATCATGGATGACGATCTCATGAGCGCCCCAACTCCTCGCAGCTGTCGTGAATTAGTTTGTACGGCTGACTATGACTACAATTTCGTGATTCCTCAGAGCCTTGTCATTAAATTGAACGCTGTGGTTGCTGTCGAAAAGAAGAAACGTCAAGTATCAAAGTACTTCAATGAGCATCAAGATGTCGAACATCCGGAGGGGTCCACGAACGAAGTCTTAGCTTTCTTTCCTGGTGGTACCCCGCGCTTTACTAGGTTTGTGCTTTTCATGTGCTGTTTCATGTGCTGCTGGAGCTCTGTGTTGCTTGATGTGTTGCTCACGGGGTGTGTTGCTTTCTGTGTTGTTACTAGTGGTGGGGTCTTCAGAATGGTTGAGTACTTCAGTCTTGTCAAGAAGTCCAATTCATGGATGGCAGATGTGAAGTGGCTGTTATCGACAAAGTGGAAAAAGATCCTCGCACACCCGGAGATATTCGACGAGGAGACCGGAACTGCTGCTCTAATGCCTGACGTTGTTCCAGTGAGACATCAACAACTGGCGGACGACATCGTGCATGTGCTGGAAAGCGCTTGTCTAAGCTCAATCTTTCGGCTTGATTGTGGCGAGGGAACCGTCATGGTGGAGGAAATGGTTGGCATGATTGCCCGAGATCGTATGCTGAGTGATACGATTATCGACTTTAGAATTCGATGCATTTGCGAATCGATTGGTAGCTGCTATGCTGTGGACTCATTCGCACCGTCATTGAGCTGTCCGAGGCCACCAGAAGTCCCTATTGATAGCTAAAAAGACGTTGTGTTGCCTGTCCATTTGAGCGACATACACTGGGGTGTGATTATTGTCAGTATTTCATACCGGACGGAGATGGCGACAGTCACACCGAATTTCTACGAACCATTGTGCTCTACGTCATACAACGACACTCTTGAGCACACCTACGAGGCAATAGTGGCCGAGTTTTTAAGATTTTGGCACGATTCCACCATGCTGGGAGAGCCATATTCAATCGTAGAGGAGACCGTGTGGCTTTCCGGACCGAAGCAGCCCGACGGAACCTCTTGCGGTGTGCTAGTTCTCACCCAAGTGTATACGATTCTTAAAAATAGCTTGCAATTTACCCGATGTGCTGTAAGCCATGACGACGTCGTCTTCGCATTATGTGGATGATCTTAAGGCAACCCGAGGTAACCACGAGAAAAAACAAGGTAGCGAAGGCGGTCCAAGACACAGATCTGGAATAACTGGCGACAATTAAGACGTAGCATGTTGTGTTTCGGAAGCCAATTAATTGTAAACTTCTTACTCAATAACCCCACTCTGGTCCTCAAATTCTCAATGCTGCGTGTGGCCTAACATTGAGCTGCAACACTCCCTTAACACAACCGAGTAAGACATGACATACTTTGAGCTGCGAATAGGAACCCCCGTCACGGCTGCAATGCGGGTGGTTTCCTCCTTTTCGAGTGAGATCAATGTAGTCAGCTCATCGTGCGCATTTAGCAGCTTCGCCGTGTACTTGGCCAGTTTTTTAAGCTTCCCTTCCATAAGTTCAACCTGCTGAAGCCGGGACTGAAGCAGCTTTTGGCAAAGCTTGGCCTGGTGAGTTTGAAGAGTCTCCGCTTCACCACGGCGAGCTGCAGTTAGCTCTAGATACCCCGAAGGCGCTGAATGACTAGCCATAGCGCTCTTAAGGAGGTTGGCGTGGCTGATGTCGTCTTCGCTCATACTTGTCTCCTTTAAAACGCTCGACTGCGATCTACTAAGAAATTCACAATAGGGGGCCAGAAACTTTTACGGCTCCCGTCATTTATCTCTTTTAAATTTATTACGCCACGAGCGTATTTTATTTAGCAAATGTTGCTCTCGGTGGCTCTCCTTGTGTCGATGTGGTCTGTTGCGTTGCTATAAGAGCTTGTCGTTGACGAGTTGCAGTAGCGCCGTCCCAGCTTGCCAGCGGATCACTATTACTTCAAGTACATGCATTTGGATATCATACAGCTTCCAAGCACAAAATGCATGTACATGTATCGACGTTACCCTGGCCGAAACGGCTAGAGCTTCGATCGCTGTAATTGCCAACCGTAAACACGCGTCATATTGATGCTCAAACGGTATCGGACATGCTCATGGAAAAAGTCCGTAACGGTTGCTCCGCCACTGAAGTTCAGTCTGAACAGCGGTCATTCCATATGCCGTTGTTGTTCTAACTGCAAGTGGAACGACATGGGGATGACAGCAGAGATTCTTGGTCCGCCACGTCACTCGTCAACAATTCAAAGTGGGTGCGTCACCAATCCACTTGGATTTAGTAAGAGACACAACTTACCTGTCTATACCGATGGCATTCCTCCACCGCAACTAGCAGTCATTCTCCATTTACTCCCCACGTTCGCACGTGTATCGAAGCCTTCTTTCCTCCCCAATTAATAGCAATGTCTGACCTTAAGGCCGATTTCGAAGCTGCTGCTGCGCTTGCCAAGACTTTCACAAAGAACCCCGTACGTAGCGTGTCCCCTTCCGCCTCGAGACGACTCAACTGATCCGATGTGTATCATTTCTCTGTTTGACTCCAGACCAACGACGAGAAACTCGCCCTTTACGCCTACTACAAGCAGGCCACTGTGGGAGACAACACGACGCCCGCCCCCGGCATGTTCGACCTGACGGGAAAGGCCAAGTGGAACGCCTGGAACGCCAAGAAGGGTGTGTCCACGGAGGACGCCATGAAGGCCTACATCGCCGAGGTGGAGAAGCAGAAGGCTGTCTACGCTTGAAGTGCGGCTGCCAGGTCGCGTCTGTAGCTATGCCCCCCTCTCACTCAGTAGAGAAGGGGTCATTTCTATCCGTCTCCGCTTCAAGCAGTTTATGTATGCAGTTTTGAACGCTACGGGGAAAATGGGGACGATCGACCCGATGCCAGCTCACGTTTGAGTCGCTGATAACTTCGTAATAGTTTTCATGAAATGTTAACAGACGACCATGACATGTTTGTGTGGGTTCATTTGGCTACCTGCGTGAAGATCTGCGTACACGACAAGGGCTAAGCAAAGTTTCGCATAGCAGGACCAGTCCACAGTCGAGATGTGGTCAACTGTACTTCCAGGTAAGTTCATTGAATAGATAGTTACAACACTGACAGCGCCTACTCGAGATTGCTGTCAGTGCCTTTAAAAAATGCGAGACCTGCATATATGGATTCGACGCGTTGGAGTGCAGAATCTCCTCCATGCTGCTGCCAGCTGCGCTCGCATCCGCAAAAGTGATGAGGGTGCTGCTACACGGCTCACTTTGATCCGCCACTTCCGACCTTTGCCTCGACCCTTGCCTCCATTCGTGCAAAGTCAGTCATGAGCTTATTGATTTGATCCGTGTGCTGTCCTAGCTTGGTAGACAGTGAAATCTGCTGCACCGCCAGTTGCTGCTGCGTTTCGGTGTTTTGAGTCAGCAGTCGCATGAGGAGTACCTCCATCTGCTCGCCCGCCGCTGTTGTCCCCATGGAAAGCTGTGTCATTGCCATTGATGTGTCTTCTTCCTGGATTCCGTCGTTGTTGTCCAGTTTGGGCGGAGACAGTGACGACTGTGTTGAGGTCGATCCAAACGATGACATTGACGATGCTGTCGTTGACGTAGAAGGAGATATCGGCGTCCCGATCTTTCTTCTGCTAAAGCTATCAAGCTCACTTTGAGCCGCATCTTGGATCTCTCCCGTGACTTCATGTGCTTTGTCACTGTCCTCAGGTTTCTCAGCCTCATCAACAGTAATGTCTTCGGGCTTTAACTGGTTGACGCCCTCAGTTGAAGCTACAATCTCCGTAAGGTTCTCACCTGCTGCCAAAGCCAGTCGCTCCAAAATGGAAATATCACACGATTCTCGCGGACGTGTGTCGAGGACGAAGACGCTGCCGACAGCGTGGCCAGAGTTCGGGTCAATAATCGGGGCAGCCGCGTAAAATCGAACGCCGGCAGCTCCCGCGACGAGAGGGTTTTTCCGAAATCGATCGTCCTGAAGTGTATCCAATATGACCATCGGTTCGCGTGCATACACTGTATAAGCGCAGAATGCGATCTTGCGTGGGATCATCTTGTGCGCCAGCCCCACACTGGCCTTGAACCATTGACGGTGCTCATCTAGAAAGCTTACTGCAGCCATGGTACACGACAAACGCGCCTTCGCGAGATCGCAGACCATATCGAACGGCTTTTCCGATTCCGAGTCTAATATTTTCAGTGCGTACAAGGCGCGGAGTCGGTCTCCTTCGTCAGCACTTAGAGGTGGACAAGGCCACGGGTGGGCCCACTCGGACGAAGATTCGCTACTCTGCTGTTCTGTCTGAAGGTTGCTCTTTTTAGTGCTTCTAGACTCACCTTCCGCGCTGAAGTGGCCTTCCTTTAGCTCCAAATGTTGGCGTGCCTTGGGAGTAAGTGAGCGAAGCATTTCTTCACTGTCTGGCTCGGACGATGGACCGAATGCAGGAGAGTGTAAATGGTTCTGCAGCCACACGCGAGACGCCTCCGACGTCACGCTGGGGAGTGGTGAAGCCGCATTGCTGGATCCTCCAGCGCGACTGTTTGAGTTGTTGATCACACACGACATGCACACGCGAACGCGTGCGGTGCCGATCGTCGGATCCACATGAGCGTCCTTATAAAGCGTGCAGTTCTTGCATACGACCTCTCCGCACTGCGATATACCAGGAAGCGTCAGAAACCACGACAAAAGAAAGCGTCGGTAGCATCAACTACATGTAAATCTTACCATACGACAGTGGTGTTTGCGACGGAAGGTGCCGAATGGTCTGGTACAGACATAGCACAAGTTGCGCTCGTGGTCGGCGACCCAGTCTGCAGAATCCACGAGGTGCGACACGAAAAGGTTGTCGGCCGCCATCTTGACTCGGTGTTTTTAGAGACGGCGGATGAGATTAGCTAGTCGATGCTTCAAGAATACGCGTTGGCGTAGGAGCGGTATGTTTAGCACGCACTTCTCTGGTTCGGGAAAAAATGAATTCTGGTGCCGCCAGTGAGTGCCCTGGCAACGCGGCGATGAAGCGAAACGCCTCCAGCACTCGCCGACCGGGCGAGAAGGAGTCGGAGACCCCACGCAAACGCAAGAAAAAATCGTAAAGTGGAGAGCAATTGGAGTTCCGTGGGTCTTGAGCGGCGGTGGGGCAAGTGGCGGCACGTTTTTTCTGGCTTGTAGCTGTTGTTATTTTTCGATTCATCCCTCCGCCCAACGCTCGCGACCTCCATTTTTGCGTAACAACGCTGGTCGGAGAACGCTAAGGGCTTCAATCAAGAATATGGAGGCCTCCAAACCCCGAATAAAAATCCCTGGAGCCGGAATGACAAGGTATGCAATTTAACACCGCGTCGTACGATCCGTGCAAGTGAACCCAGCCTAGAAAGTTCCTCCGCAGAAAAGTATCACTAACATACACAGGGCGTGGTGGCGACGCGGTGACCAGCTTGCCTTTTTTCGTGACGGAGCTCTGGACGATATTCCGCCGTACGAGGAAGCGAAAAAACTCTTGGTTGACGATACACACAAAAGAAATGGTGGACCAACGAACGTGCTACTGTGCACCATCTCCGGATTTGAGTTAACGATGAGTCATGAAAGCTACAGCCTCCTCTAACTTTCGCAGCTGCCATCTTTTCGTGGCGGTCTGCAGCGTATGTACACAACCAGTATCGTCATCAGTTAAACTCTTGTGGACAGCTCAGCGCCAAGCGTTTCGTGGGTGTCGCTATTTCTCGTGAGCAAGTTTACGTGGCCGTTAATGCAAACACAGCAATGACGTACAGTACATGTACCATCCTCGGTTGATGCGTTGTTTTTCTCTCGAGACTTACATCTGGACTTCGACGTGAGAGACGCTACCCATGCAGAGCTGACTGGGAAGCGTCTAGCCTACCGGTAGCCTACCGGCGGTAGGTGGACCAAGTGCTTACCACGTACATATATTGAGCATGCGCTAAAGCATTAATAGAGGCGAAGCCCTGTGGTTAATTACAACCTAATCTCACTATCGGTTTAATGCATTCGTCTCCGTTATTTGCCCCCTTCAACTTGAACACTTCAACGTAGCAACGATACATTTTTGACCAATGATCAAGCACTTTTCGTGTCCCCTACTTTTTGGCTTTGAGCAAACGACGAGAAATGCGGCTTTTTGCAGCACGGAACCTGGCCCGCTTGGCACGAGGACAAAGCCACAAGGTGAGAACTTTCTTCATCCTCCTTAGGCTACCTATCTCTCTGCTGCTTTTCGCCGTTTCTTCCGTCGTTTTTGACCCCCCTAGAAGCTTCATAATCATCACTTCGATCTCACCTCTCGCTTGTCGTATTTTGCTCCAGTTCCATGGCCCCACGCTGCGTCACGCGCTACTTCTAAGTGGCCTGGGACTGTCCATGCTAGCCCTCGCACGTGGAGAGATGGCGGACGTGCACTCTGCGCACATGGAAGCGCAGTGTGACGCTCGCTACGCCCCGCCCGAGGTGGAGGGGGCCTTCTCTGTGCCTCTGGAGCGCGAGGAGTTCGCACCCATCACCAAATCCCGCGCTACACGAGTCAGCAGCGCATCGTATAAGGCAAATTTCCCCATCGAGGACAAGTACGCAGTGGCGACGACAGACGCGGGCGACGTGTTCGCAACCGTGCTGGATGGCCATGGTAAACACGTCACTTTGTCTGGAGATCTGTTCCCCTTGCTGATCTGCTTGTATGATACTTGTAGGTGGCTGGCAGGTGTCTGAATATGCTCGCAAGACGCTGATTGGCAACGTGCAGAAGGAGCTGGCTTATCTGTACAAGCCGGGGACGTCTGAGCCGGCTCAAGGTGACGAGGAGGCGGTCTCGGACAACCGCGTAGCTGCTGCTATTCAACGTGCATTTGGTCGCACAGACCGCGACCTTATGGCAGAGGTGGCATCGGCCTTCAAGCTGGGTTTCGGAGCTGTTGCACGTTGCGGATCGTGCGCATGTCTGGCGTACGTGCACGAAGGCACCGTGCACGTTGCCAATGCTGGTGACATCCGTGCAGTACTGGGTAAGCTCGGAAAGGAGCCCAACACGGTAGTAGCTGAGCCACTCAGTAAAGACCAGAACGCTATGGTGAAAATCGAGCAGGAGAAGCTCATTAAGGAGCATCCGGGTGAAGCCAACGCTTTCACGTGCCGCCACCCGGACTCGTGCTACGTGAAGGGCGCACTGCAGCCTACCCGCGCATTCGGTGACTTTGCCCTGAAGCATCCGGAGTTCAACGGGCCGCCCTACAAGAACGGGGACCGCTCTGCTGGTCGCCACTTTTCGGCACCGTACACGCCACCATACATCACGGCTATCCCGGAGGTTACGTCGCACAAGCTCTCGGAGGGAGACAAGTTCCTTATCATCGGATCGGATGGTCTATGGGACTATCTCAGTAACGAAGAGGCCGTCGAAATCGTGAACGGTCAGGCGTCGTGTGGGAATCACGATCTGGCTGGACGTGCGCTGGTTGAACGTGTGCTTCAGAAGGCGGCGAAGCGATACGGAATGACGTACCAGGAGCTGTTGAGTCTGCCACCGGGAAGTCACCGCCGTCGTCGTCACGATGACACGACCGTGGTTGTGCTGTTCTTCGACTAGAGTGAATTCAGGCGCCTGAATAGCCTTGACGACCAAGAAGGATTGTACAACTTGCAACCTTTAAACCATTAAAGGCACGATTCAATCAAAAGATTGCCAACTCATTTATGATTTCTCAGGGTTGAAACTATAGGCATTGCGAGAAAAAGAAGATCGCCCTGTTCTACTGGTAGTTTGCGGTGTACCTGGTAGCATTGATGTTGAAGGTCTCGTTGGTTCGCTCTTCTCCTTTTCCAGTTGTTGCCTGTACAATTCGTAGTTCTTCTCCAAAGAGTCTGTGTAGAACTGCAGCAATCACATTATCAGTATGGACGACAGTGCAACAATGGCGACAAGAAACTTACCCGCAGATGATGGCAAAGTGAAGTCAGTGGCAGCCAAATAGGCCGCACAACGTAGTTGATGAAGTTGAGATGCACGATAACCCGAACGTATTTATTATCGAGGTTTCGCATAAAGTAGTCGGTTTGTACTCCATGTTCAGCTTCAGTAGCTGCTTGGTTCTGGAACTCGTCAAGCAAGCGAGCACCCCACTCTTGGGCTTGAGAAAATGGTAGCAAGTAGTGGGATAGGTCGGCAGCACGCACTAGAATTCCCATGAGGAGAAGACGCTTCTCGCTCAGTTGTCGACGTGTAAGACCTTCAAGAATTTTGCATTTCTCAAAATGTTTCGACATGTCGGTTGCCAGAATACACGAAATGATAAGGTGACGCACTCGTTTGTGGCGTTCATGGTCGAGATGTTGCAGAATCTTAGCCGACTTGTGGTTAAGGATGATGAAAGTTACCCGACAGTGGTGGCGCTCCAGTACTGCGTCGTCGTTGTGTGTGAGCGCCATGGGGCTCAACATCTTCAGTTCGAAGTCGTTATTGTTTCCGGGATGATCGATATCGTGGCAAAGCGATGCTATCAGCATGGCGAAAATCTCGAGTCCGCTAAAATATCGACGACACTCTGTGCGTAACATGATGTGCATTGCCACCATAACCTGAAAAGCGTGCTGGAAATTATGGAAAGGGTTGCTACGATAGTAGTTAGCCACGTTTGTCGAGAAGGCTGAGAATTTATCACTAGATATGCGGAAGGCGTCCATGAACCCGTACGCACGGAAAATAATACCACAGCTCATCGACACTTCGCCGCTTGAAAGTGCCACAGTCTCGGTGTCCCAATGATCCAGCGGTTCGTTTCTACCATGAGTAAAGGAAATCTCACGTGGAAACGGCACTTCGTCGTCTTCCTGGCTCTTCTTCTTGATAGCTGGTAGCAGCGCAGCGAAAGAGGGGATCCCTTTTTTCTTTGTTGCATTCGCAGCGTCATCGCCTGAGTGGCAATATTTGTGTACGATGGAGGAAATGATGTCTGTCTCGGAGAAATTATCCAGACGACTACTACTTGACATTCGCTTTAAGGTCCTTGGGTTCGAGTCCACACTCGTGCGAGATACAGCAACACAGTCGGACACTACTTTGTAGTATGAGACGTCGAGAGACAACCGACCAAGTGCAAATTGAACTTCTGCGCAGTATTTACTCATGATCTCACGGTCTGTTTGTGTGAAGGCCACGACATGAGCACCTTCCTTCTTGTTGATACACATTGCAACAGCTACCACCTTAGGAGGAATTGTGACCGAGTGGTCTTCAAACACAGGCATACAAAGCACGCTCGTAGTACGGTACCCTGTCTTCATATCAACACTCGGATCGAACAGCTCGTGCTTGTAGGCGTCACGAGTACAAACTGTTTGCCCGGTAGTGGCTACAAGTCCTGAAATCCCTCGATTGATTGGCGAGCGGATACTCTCACCACCGATCCGTGGTGTGATCCAAAGCTCATGCTTGAAATGATCGATAAGCAACAGCCCAAAGCGATCACAATCCATGATATCTTTGCCTATATCCATGACCATGTTGACGAACTCCGCGATATCGGTGCTCTCCGATATGAACGTCGTGAGCTTCAGTCGTGCTTCAATCAGTTTTTGTGACGTTCTGACTTGACGATGCAAACTCGCTTTGTGTAGTGAAGTACCCACTGCTTCAGCTGCGTAATTCAGAAAAATAGCGTCCTCACTGGTGAAATCCATGCCGTCAACCTTGTTGACTGCCGAGAGTACAGCTAATATCGTCCCCTCTGGAGACTTGACGGGCAGGCATAATATTCTCTTGGTGAGGAACCCTGTCTTCTGGTCCAAGGTCGAGTCGAACAGAGGATGCGAGTACGCGTCATTCGTGATGACAGTCTCACCTGTACGGGCCACGTATCCAGCGATGCCTTTTGTTATCGGGACATACTCCCCACGAACGATATCTGCTGCTGATGCGATGTACAGCTCATCTTCGCCTTCGATCTTGATGAACAAACCGATACGTTCCGTGCCAATTAGTTCATGACAAACACTGAGCACCTGATCTAGAACTACCGACGAAGACACAGTCTCCATGGAAAAGTTGCGGTGAAGCTTGAGTAAGCCTTCGATACGATGCTGAGCAGTCTGACGCTGACGTGAGAGCACGAGGTTCCAGATTGTGGCGCCAGCCACCACTGCGATGAATTCCAGATTCGCGATATCTGTATCGGTGAACGACACTCGTTTATCTGTTGATGACTTGTTAGAGCTTACTTGGAGCACGCCAACTACAGCACCATGAGCATTACGAATTGGTAGACAAACCAATGCTTGTGGGTATTCTACTGCATTATTATCACCGTGGTTGCGTTGAATTTGGAAGATTACATCAGTGTCGGAGTCGGTGATTGTAAACGGTCTTCCGGTCATGATCACACGTCCAAAAACTGTGGGGGAGTCAGGCACCATGAAGCCTTCACTTATGACATCAACTTTCGAGAGTGACAAGTCTAACTCAGCGTCGCTATCGGTGCGTAGGGTGGAACATACGTCCAGGACGTTGCGACGCTCGTGCAGAATACCCAAAGTGAGCTTGTCGGCGCGTACTAGTTGCACTGCAGCACGTAGCGTGCGTTCCACGACGCTCTCGAAGCTACTTTGGGCAGAAACCTCCTTGGCGATGATCATGAGCGCCTCTAGCTGCGAGACGCGCTTTTGCATCGTCACGATCCCACCAGAACTTTGATCAACTCCTACCATTGTAGCGGGAGATGTCATTGCCGGTGAGTTGACGCCGCTAGTCGGTTCGATCTTGATGGATATGGCGCTACCACCACTGTGCCCAATAGTACTTTGCCGATGATCTAAAAGTCGTGACTCCAACGCTGCCGATCGACTACGAAGCAATTGTACACGCTTGCGACTTTCTTCGATACGAGCCAGTAGACGTTGTTTCTCTGCAGTCTGCTCGCGAACTCCATCCACGACAGTTCTTAAGGCGTCTGCAGGCACGAACACCATCTTGGTCTTCTCCATTGAGGGCATGATTGTGCGATCATGTGGAGACGATAATGATAAGTTTCACAGGAGCAGAAACCGTTTCGCCGGCAACGCAGCGCAAAACGCCATCGCATCTCCAGAATCGGAACCACGAACTCGTCATCAAGTAGAAGAGATTTACATTGCAGTCGTAGTCTACGAGTGTTCTACGACACGTAGAACACTTGCATACAGCGTCACCCTCCATTTTTTCCTTCACAGCAAGAATGGGACTGCCCCATTCTGGCTGCTGAAGTCTCCGACGAAGGGCTTCGCAAAGCTCACTCCAGACGACACAGCACGTACTTCGAAGTATGAATGTACGCTGTGGTGGAAGTGCAGAGTGGACATACCGAAGCTATAGCGTAGTCGCCGCCTTAGTGGAAGAAGAAAAATGGAAGTGAGCGCAATGACTGCGCTTTGGTAGGACTGCAGTGTCGTCCTACCAAAGTTGCTCGATGCATCCCGGCTACGCACTTGAAGTTGGATAGACCCAGGTTGAAGTGGTCCAAAAAGATATCATAGGTAAGGAATTAATAAAAACAAATTCGGTAAAATGTTATGCCGGACATGAAAGTTGCCTGACGCAACAGAGTCTGTAGTAGTACAGGCCCCACCTTTGTATCAAACACTTGTGGCATCCATGGAGGTAGTTTGAGCGGAGCAATAGACGAATCACCGATGTGCCGATCAACAGAACCCACGTTTAAACACTCCAAGACCAAAGATTCAAAGCCCCGATGCGCCAGCCAGAAAGCTGCACTACTTTGTAGGTGTGCTGCCACGAAGCGCCCTACCAATTTGGTAACCAACCACCCGCCATTTTTGCCTGCACCCACGGAATCTGATGGTCCAGGGTGGGACACCATCATCTCGATTATTCACGGAATCCTCACTTCTGCATACTTTACTCAAGTCATTTCGAACTCCCCAATCATTTTACTCGTCTTTGCGTCCCTTGGCATTGATGTCCGACCATCGACGATCCTAGAATCTACCACCACTCCCCGGGACCTCCTCATTCGCAATCCTTCCAGCAAGAGCTCAAGTAAAACCTCGCAATGCTTCGCCGTGCCGCTATCCGTGCCGCCCAGGTGTCCGCCGTCTCCAAGACGCGTGGCTTCGCAACCTCGCAGCTGCGCACAGCCAACAAGAAGAAGCAGCCGAGCGCTATCGTTCTCGCCGCCGCAGGCGTCGCCGCCGTGAGCGGCCTGGCCCTAACTGACCTGGTGAACGCGCGCGAGAAGGCCGTGGACCTGGACGCCATCAAGAAGGAGATCATTGATATCTTCGACGAGGACAACTACATGGGCCCCACCATGGTGCGTCTCGCGTGGCACTCGAGCGGCTCGTACTCGGGTAAGGACAACAGCGGAGGCTCGACGGGTGGCACCATCCGCTTTGACCCGGAGATCAACCACGGCGGTAATGCTGGTCTGCATCTGGCTGTCAAGGCCCTGGAGAAGGTCAAGAAGAACCACCCGGAGATCACGTACGCTGACTTGTACATCCTGGCCGGTGCCACGATGATCGAGGAGATGGGAGGCCCCGAGATCCCCTTCCGTCTCGGCCGTCCGGATGCCAAGAGCGGCAAGGAGCCGACGCAGACTCCCGATGACCGTCTGCCTAACGCCGACATGGGTAGCAAGGATAAGACCACGCAGCACGTGCGCGACGTATTCTACCGCATGGGCTTCAACGACCGCGACATCGTGGCGCTCGTGGGCGCACACGCTATTGGACGCTGCTACCCGACACGAAGTGGCTACAGTGGCCCATGGACTAACGCCGAGTGGACATTCTCGAACGAGTTCTTCCGTGAACTGATCGAGAACAAGTGGACGATTAAGAAGTGGGATGGCCCCATGCAGTACGAGGACCCGACGGGTAAGCTTATGATGCTACCTGCCGACATTGTGATGATTCAGGACCCAGAGTTCAAGAAGTACGTCGAGTTGTACGCTAAGGACGAGGAACTGTGGTTCAAGGACTTTTCCAAGGCTTTCGTCAAGCTCACGGAGAACGGCGTCAAGTTCCCCAAGTCAGGCTGGTTCAGTTTCTTTAGCTAAGTAGCGATTAGTTGAGGGATGGAACCTCCGAGTATTACCTCCTACAGTCTGGTAGCTCGAACCAACGTACAGATCAGTATTCTGAAAGTCTAGAATGCTTTAACGTCTAAGTATATAAACAAATACATCATCATGATGTAGCAATAAATCTATTGATGTAAGGGTCCTATTTCGGTGTATAGCAGCATGGGTAGGACGGAATCTCGACGTGGTAGAAGGCGTGAAGTGACTTTATCGTACGAGAAGACTTATCCATGGGAGGACGAACGTGGATCTGCGGTAGAACGCACCGTGGAAGTCAACGCAGAAGCCAAACGCGTGTATACGATGCAAGAGCAATTGCTACCGACACGTCCGCTTGATCGACCGTTGGATCCCGCAGCGAGTGAGCATCTTCAAGATGTGGGGCGTCGAGTGTTGATCCTTCGAGATACTACGAAGAGAGCACAGATGAATGGGATGCTGAGTCCAAAGAAGTCTCCGAAGCGTGTGATTCCGAGTCGATATCCTGAAGTTGCACCGGACTTGGAAGAAGATAAAGGAGAACCGGATCGAGTAGAGGAAGAGGTAGACCCAGTCATTACAGAAGGACGAATCGTAAGTACACGGTAGTTTTAGTACACGTAGTGTGGTGATGTTGATGACAAGCTTGTGGTGGTGTAGACAACGATGTTGATGGATCAGGAATGGGATACGCGAGGGTGGAATGCAACAAAGATCCAGGCAGCAGTGGAGGCTTTGTACGAAGAAATTGAACACTCCGACGATGATTCACGACGCGAACTTGCAACTTCGATGCTGCTACGTCTGATGGAAAAACACGAAGGTCGGTACGTTAGCGTATCCGAGTCCATCACATTCGTCGAATAACATTGTATTTATGCTGAGCTGTAGACGCGGTAGACTACGTCGAGACCTCTTTACCAAGTCTGACTAATAAAGCCTTCCGGACACTGTCGAAATTCACTGATAACATCAAGATCTTCCGTATGGCTCGACTTGTTGCCGTGCTAGCGGAATGGTTTGCCCACGTTTTGTCAAACGAAAACGCAGTGAACAAGAGTGTCGGATGTTTATTGCGTGAAACCGAGTTATGTGCGCGTATTCTTCAGCATCATTGGCGTGGAGTGCTCTTCGAACGCTCACTGAACAAGCGAGATTGTGATCCGATAGTCCGAACTCGACTGCGTTCCATGTACATGATCAAATTCGTAGAGTTACGTCATCAATTTAAAGTATTGCGAGAAGCTATTGGGCCTGGAGGAATACCTGACAGCGTCACACAGACATACATCACCATTTTGTATTATTTGGTGAAGCTCCAACGCGGCCCTGACACGATATCAGATAAAACTCGCAACACGGTGCTTTTGGATCAGCGAAGGACACTTGGGTCAGGCTTGTTGGTGTGTTTGGCGTCTCAAATCACTAGACGCCAGAGCCGCGAAGTGATTGAGTTGGTGAAAGGAATTGTATCAAATATCATTGAAGGCCATGGAGACGAGTACATTGTGGAAATACTTCAGTGCAACATCGTCCAGAGAGTGCAACTGGACTTGGTACACACCATGGAAACGTTTGATGGCAACAGCGTTGCTGCTTCTACGGCACTGACAACTTCGCTCAGTTTGATATACGCTATTGCCACTAAAGTTCTTCACACGACAGAGCGATGGGGGCAGCCAATTGTTGCTGCAGGTACGTCTTCCAGTCCGTCTCGAAAAGGAACGCCTTCACCCGTGAATAATCCACGCAACGTTGGAACTCCTGACGAGCGGAACTTCATGATGCGAAAGCTGAAGACGTCAGTTCGTCAATTTCTACTGACTGCGGATCTTTTCGATACGCTGTTCGAGGTTCTGAGTTACTGTCAAGAAACAAACGACAGGTTACGAGCCCAAGTGCTGGAAATACTGTGTCTGCTTGCTCGGTCGCTGGGTTTCTCTCAACTTCTTGATTCGATGACTCGGTGTGGAGGACGATGGCTTGAACTAGTGTTGCTGTGTATGAAAGATACCAACCTGGTTGTTGTGCAAGCTGCAGTGACTTTATTCTACGACATGACCAGCCGTACTGATGCCCGACACGGACTCACAACAGCAGGTGCTGTACAGTGTTTCATGCGTTGGTGTCGACCCAATTTTGAAGCTTGTGAATCGCGGATGGCGTTCCTCATGGGACTTATTGGATGCTCCTTACTGGCTAGACAAACGGAGCGAGTCAAGCCTGCTACGGCACTGCTATCATCGCTAACGACCTTCGAGAAGCGACTGGATGCGTTGTACACTCTTCTACTGAACCTGGCAATGCAAGATGATACTCTACCACGTGCCTCAGAGAAGACTGCCGCTTTCTTCTTCTCCGTTGATGCATTGCCGACGCTTGTGACGTTTTTAACGCAAGTGTCGCCGAGTTGTATGGAGTCACCAGTCCAGAATGCTCGACAGCGCAACGTTAGCTGCATTTTACTCGGTCGCATGTGTAAAATTGCGCATTTAACGCGAGCGTGTTTCTCCGAAGGTGTCGTCAATCACCTCGCACTATCGATTCAATGCAATCGACTGGATGAAATCGAGAATTTGGTGGCTCGTAGTTCGTCTGAAGATCGATCCATCCATGAGCTTGGCTCGAAAGAGGCTTGCAAGGCGCTTAGCCGACTAGCGCGATGTCCGAGTAACCTGGTGGATGCGCGACTTCGACCATCTATCACTTCCGCACAGGTTCCTGAATGGCCCCAAGCCTTAATTTGCGATGTCATGTTTAGGATGCACGTGTTGGAAGACTTGATTGCACTTATCCGAATACCAAGTGATGCGGCTGAGTTTCCCGAGGTAGAATTGGATAAAGTTGTAGCTGCAGTCGAACTCGCAGGGTATCTTCGACCGCTGCCTTATGGCGTAAGTGCTCGAGACAAGTTCCTGAAGTCTCACGCCCACCATCCACACGGGAGATATGCCCAAGAAAAGCTGTCGAAGCTTGTTGAGCTGGTCGCACCTGCTATCTTACACATTCTCCGCGAGAAAAGTGCTGGGTTTGAACTTGTTAGTGCGTGCTGCGTAGCTCTCAGTCGACTGGCATGTACGAATGCTGCGTGCACTATGCTGCTGGCTCAAGGTTGCTTGCAAACGGCAATGATTCATTTACCTGATATCCTCATCTCCACTGGAACAACAGCATCTCCGAAGCGACAAACTGTCGTGGTTGATTCATCAGTTGATTATCATGCGCTTCTAGATGTACCTGCCCCTCTTTATACGCTGTTCGGTAAGCTGTGTGCAGTTGCAGATGGACGAACTGGGGTAATGCGTGCTCAGGTGCTTCATCGTCTTCTCAAGCGAATGCAAATGCAGCATCCGACCTCGCAGACGCTTAATGACGAATGCAAAAGTGAGATTGCGGTCGTTATTTCACGGTTAGCGATGGTAAACACTGTGGAAGGCAGCTCTGGCGAACTCTTTCTACACTTCCGAGTATTGGAGTTGCTATCGAAAGTGTTGCAGCAACATCAAAGTCTTGTAGCTACGCAAACTTCTATGGCATCTTCGAAAAAGAAAGACGAAGTGAACAAGTGGAGACTTTTAGTGCATTCCGTTGGTGCAATTGCAGCGCTCAGTCAAGATGTGCTCGTGTGCGTTCCTCGAGTTGTTGCGCTTGGTATCGTTGAGTTATTGTTCCCGTTTCTAACACGACTTCGAGTGGAAGGAGGTTCCAATCCCCTACTTGAGTCGCTCCAGTATGATGCAGTCACTATTATTCGATCTATCGCGTCGTATCCTTTTGGCGAGTACCATGCGTATCTAACGAACGTAAAAGGTGTTATTCCCGACTCAGATAATGCAAAGGAGAAGGAGAATAACAAAGAGGCAGCACCGCCGATGTTGATAATGGAAAAAGTAAAGCAGATTGCCTTCGATTTCGCGATGGAGCTAAAGAATAAGCCGATGGCTTTGAGAGACAAGAAATCCGTTGGAGAACTCGCTCGGGAGACTATGGCGTTCATCAATGAGCATCAACAACAACTAGAGCGACAACAAGAACAACGTCGCAAGTCTAATGTGAAGTATTTAAATGGATCTAAAGAACACCTCACATCGATGACTAGCCCACGCATGAAAAACTCATCTCCAACTCGAGCTTCATTCCCAGTCTTACCAACGTCTCCAATAAGTCGTTTAAATGAAACTCAGGACCCCTCTCCTGCGCAGAAAGTTATAGCCAGCAAAACAACGATAGAGACTCCGCTTAACGCCACTCGATCCGTTCTTTTACTCGACGGGGGATCTAAATCACCAGCAACATTGAACGGAGTGAACATCGCATCAACAAGACCTGCAGTGAACAACAAACCGTGTCCTGTGTCCGAATCGCACCACCATTATGTCTTCACTAGACCCAAGTCGAAGACCAAGCGACGTGACAAAAACCCAGCGTACTGTTTAATATTGGATCCGCTTTTCGACTCTGGTAGCTCCCCTTCAATCCCAAGACTACCTAGCGGCAACATGAAGACGCCAGATGACTTGCAACATCCCAACGAAGAGACGTACAGCTTCTCACAAGAAGTTGATCGTTGTGGTCATTACGCGAATATCCAAGCGCTGCGCCACAAGAAAGGGGATCGATACTTCCCGTCATTGGGACGTATCGTTACCTCCACTCCTGTATCTCCCGATCTCTACAAGCGTCCAGCAACTCTGTCACCACACTAACAAAAACACTTGATAAAATGCTGAACGAACCCTCTATTCAAGCGAAGCAAACAAGGAAGAGGCTATCTCGTCAGCTGCAAAACGTGGGCAGTCGAGATACCTACGGGTTCTAGGCATTGTCATCGGTTTGGCGAGTCGTGGGGTTGCCGTTGGAGCCATAGTTGTTCCTGTTGGCGTTGCGCGCTAACAGCAGCTGCGAGATGTCACTGCCGCTGCCACTGCGACGAATCATGGGACTCTGACGATAGACCACTTTTCCACGACGCTTACGCATGAGGTGCGTCTTCTGGAGTGACGGCGACGCGTACATGGGCGACTTCTCCACAGACTCAGTGCCACGCTTGCGCTCCTCCTTTTCGGAATGATACACCAGCAATCCCATGACCAGTACGAAAAGAGAGAAGCCATCGTAGATCGTGAACGCCTGACTGGCAGCTTTACCCGTAAGTAGAGGAATCATGTACAGTAGATCCGTCAGCGGGAGCCCCACAGCCGATGACACCACAAAGAGAACGCTGCTGCCTTCCTTGAAGATGTACAGCATGAGCTGGTTGTATATCGTATTGAATACTATGAAGACCAGGAAGACCGCCAGCACACCAGAGTCACATGGCAAGTCCTTGCCGTTCAGCTCCACTTCGTTTCCGATGAAACACTCGTGAGCTTTCCACAGGTAGGACGGGAAGCCGGCCCAGGGCACTGGAGGATCGCTGAACGCTCTGATACGTACAGTCCATATCGTAGCGAAGCCGATGATGAGCTGGTAGAAGCTGATCCAAATGTTGGCGTACCAGATATCCAGATCCACGTCCTTGAGTCCGATCTCCTTGTACACATTCGACGCTGCAGCTGGCACCAACGACACGATGTAGAGACTGATCCATCCTATACTTGGGTCGGGTGTATTTGCATTGTCTTGACCAGTAAGAGCGGGGATCAGGTTGACCATTCCGCCATACAGCACGAGGATGGAGCCTAAGATGTGACCGCGTTTGAAACGCGTCTGTAGAAACATGTAGGACAGCACCATGTTGAACGGAAGGTTGAGCTGGTTCAGCACATTGGCCATGTTCCCCCTATCAAGATTGAATCGCATCCATTAATTTTCAAGACTTTAAAAAATATAAGTACAATATATTACTTACCCGATGTGAGGCGTGGGGAACGCGCCCAGCAGGTTGTAAAGCGTGTCGAACAGCGCCATGAGCATGTATTTGTAGTGCGGGAACTCGCGCATTTCCGGTGTGATGTCATCTAACCTTTCAGTTAGTGAAAATCTAAAAATCAAAGGGAAAAAGTAGCTGTCTACTCACCGGTAAAGTAAATCTTGTAGCTGTTGTCCACACATACACACGGTTAGTATCCTAAAACATAGTTATATTGCAGATTTTATCTACATACGCTACAACGGGAGCCGACGAGACCAAAAAGGCGACGGGGAGAATCACGTTCGTAAAGTACCACAGGAACTCGGTGTAGTCGTACGTGATTCGTCTACAGTCGATAGAGCCAAACGAACGTAAGAGATCAAGTGCACAAGTGTAGTAAATTGCTGAAACTTAACTCACGTGTAGAGCACACGATCCACGCAGCGCGCCATGATGAGCAGGCACAGCGCCACCGCCAGCTTGGACTCCCACAGCAGCCGCTTCACGTCCATCGTGATGGCCGATTTTGGATATCAAGAACGGGTGTGACGATCCACATTAGATCGAAATTATTTTTCACCAATCAAACCACATCTTAAGAAATTTCAACCAATCCAATCGCATTATTGAAGATCCAGAACACTTCGTAGTTCCGCAATGGAGGACCACGGTATGAACCGCATGCAGGAGCTGCTGAGCAGCTACTACGGGCTGCAGGACCAGGAGAGCAGGCAGGAACAACTGCGCAACATCGACTCACCTGGTTTCGATCCCAAGATCTACGTCAAGGTAGGCCCCGATCGTCCTAATAAGAAAAAGTAGCCATCTTACGCGTCTGTCTGTAGGAGTTGCTGACGACCCGCGGGCTTAACGATCTTCTGGCAACGGACGACAAGCTGATCCGTGAGATCAAAGATCTGGACACCAACATGCAGATGCTCGTGTACGAGAACTACAACAAGTTTATCAGCGCCACAGACACGATCCGCAAGATGAAGGTTAGAGTGCAGCTAATAGGGCGAAATGTTGCTCAATATTTATGATATTGACGCTGGATTGACGCTACAGAATAACGTGGCGAGTATGGAGGACGAGGTGGGCCGTGTGGTCAAGAGTATGGACACTATCACAGCCAAGAGCGAGAGTATCAACGTGGCTCTGGCACCGCATCGCTCCAAAGTGGAGAAGCTCATCGGCGTGCGGAGATTGCTCAAGAGGTTCGAGTTCATTTTTGAACTGCCTCAACGACTAAGCACGTACGTCTGGGTGAGGGAGGATATTTGTTGCTGCTATTACTGATTAAGTTGCAGTGCTGTGAAGCAGAAGGAGTACGCTAATGCTACCAAGTATTACTTGCTGGCACGTCGGATTCTGGGAAGATATGAGCATATTTCGTCCTTCAAAGTACGTTTGCTGTGATGTATTTGTCTGATAATTTCTCACGGATCTTGCTTATGTCAGGCGATTCAAATGGAAGCAGAGAAAATTATCCAGCAACTCGAACGTCTACTCAAGAAGCGGATGCTGGATACCACTCTCGAGTCCAAGGAGGTAAATACTGCGTACTTCTGTTACTTGTGTCCATTGAGTTAAATTCATTTGCTGGCTTAGCTCTGCGACACGGTAGTGCTCCTGCACCAACTAGATGCATGCAACGACGAGATCCGAGACCAGTTTTTGGAGTGGCATCAAGCGTACTTTGAGCGAGCGGTAGCCGTGTCTAAGGTACCTATCCGGTTGATGACACACCATGCGCTTCGTACGTCTAAAAAATGACCTTAATCTTCTTTGTAGACTCAAGGCACGACCAGCTCGGTGCTTGGCTTCCTACAAAGATTCAACGCAGATGTTTTGACGAAAATGGGTCGAGTATTCTCAGTGTACAAGACCCACTTCTTGCCTGAAGTGGTCACGCGCGAGAAAATGTCAACGTCGCGAAAATCTTCTGATGCGGTTCGAGACGATTTGTTCCTCAGCTTCGTGAAAGAATTGTTTGCGCTGTATTCAGGCGAGTGTATTGTCCAGTTCCGACGCCCCCACACAAACTTTGTACGTATATTGCTACCATACCAGCACTGAACGCTGCTAATTTGTACCGTGTATGCATCGCAGGGACCAACGGACGAAGTTATTGACGTGCTGCAGGACGAGAATTTCTCGTCAGCTGTCGTGGAGAGCGAGTACTTTGTGTTTATGCGCGTGATGAAGTTCTTTGTCTCACAAGTCGAGGAAGTCGATAGAACTATTCCGATGTGTGGACTGGCCGCGAGCGCCACTGAGATTGTGGAGAACTGTGTGCGTTTCCAGATCGAAGGTGTCTTCAGAAAGCTACGTGAGGATACTGCGGAGTTGTTTATCACGTCTCACGAGGATGTCTCGGGGCTGGCACGAAGCTCACGTGATGGCGGACAGAGCGTTCAGCCGCTAGCACAGCACTCTGCGAGGGAGTTTACAGACATGATGCAGAAGGTGCTGCAGCAGATGGAGCCGATGGTGCAAACAGGTTTCGCTATCCTCTCCGAGCTCAGTCGTCTCTTTTCTGACTTGGTCCAGGTATGATTCGTGGTGCCCTCTTGCAGATGATAAACGAGTGATTGCTTACGTGTTTTTGAACTCATCTCGATGGTCCAGAGTCAATTTTACGATTTCCTCAAGTGGTTTAACGCAGCGGTGCTCCAGTATGCGGAACCAAAGCGTGCGTTTGCGGATGGACCGCGAGGAACACGAGAAGAGCAAGACAGCGTAGCGCTTCCATCGCTGGAGTCAACTCCCCAGTTTTTGCTGTTTCTGGCTTGCCTGTGCCAAGAGTTGTCGACTGAAGGTATCGGCGAATGTGTGCGTGGGCTCATTGAGTGTTTGCCAGCTCCTCTCTCTCCGTCAAGACACTCCGAGTCGATAGGAAGTCGTCGGATGAACCAGCAGGACGTAACGCACATGATCGAAGTGACTCGCGAGTCCTCAGCAGAGCTCCTGCAGCATGTCGCTAAACATTATGGCAACCAGTTATGTGTAATTGTCCACAATGGCGTGGCTGCTACGTCGTGGGCTGACATGGATGAGGAGCCAAGAAGTGTCCAGGAAATGATGGCTGCTGTCGTTGAAGCCACGTTCCGTTTCGGCAAAGAAGTCGCGTTGGCACTTGGCGATGAACAGAACATCTTTATCGGCCATAACAGTCGCACTGCGAGTCGTGACTTCCGTCGACGCGCTAGTGCTCTACGGTCTCGCAATGCTGGAGTTGCTAGTGCGACGTCAGGCATGCAGCTAGACGTGGATCGTATCTTTGCTCGCAAAATCCAAATCTTTTCGTCGCAACAAGAGCTTACGGCGGATGCATTCGTCCACACAATGTTGAAGATGTGCATCAAGGCCTTCAGTGAGTGGGTGAGGCTGCTGGAGCTGTCGAAGTTTGGATTGCAGCAAATCCAACTGGATGCTGAGTTCCTACGCAGCACTTTGCTGCACATTGTGGTGGCTGGTGAAGCTGAGGAAGAAGTGGAGAGTCTGCTGTCTGACCTTCTCTCGAACGCTCGTGCACGAGCGGTTGAAGACGTGTTGATGGACCAGAGCAACGTTGTGGCCATTGTGAGTACCAAGAGCACTCAAGTGTTGTCACGTCGAGGCTGATTACGGATGGCTACAACATTGGAGGAATGCAGGGAGTTTTTATAATTTTTTTTTGTGTTACTACGTTTATTTGTTGGTGGTGCGTGGTTTAATGTTTTTGAGTTGTGGTATCAGTTTTGATCAAGTAGACGTCTCGTGCTTGATACGCGCTCTACCAGCTTACGAGAGCTGGCTCCACGGACGCTCACTCTTGCCAATTCTTCGACTTCTGCCGCTTCTCGCTGGAGTTTATCCAGTTCAGCTTTGTAGCGCTCCCGATTGGATTCTAACGAGTCTGCGTATACCTTCATGGCAGGACACAACGTGGCTAGTGGCAACCAGATGGGACGTAGCACGTAATTGATGAAGTTGAGCTGCACGGTGACTCGCGTCTCAGCGTGATGCAGATTGGCCATGAAGGATTCGACTGGGAAATGCAGTTCGGCTTCGCTCTTCGCTTGTTGCTGATATTCGGAGAGGACACGCATGCCCCAGCGAGCTGCTTGAGTGTACGGCAGGGCTTGACTGGATAAATCTGCTGCGTGGATAAGGATTGTCATGAAGACAAAGCGATGTTTACTGCGTCCTCGCTTCGCTCCTTTGCCTCCGTTATTGTTGACAAGGAGATGACGTTTCGAGAGACTTTCCAGCGCCTTGCACTTCTCAAAGTGCTTGGCCATGTCTGTCGCCAAGATGCAGTGGATGAGCAGGCGACGCACGTACACGAAACAAGCCCGCGTGGGCAATTGACCGAAGAGATTTGCGCCTGGATGGCTCAAGATAATGAAGGCAACGCGACAGTGATGACGCTCCAGAACGGCGTCGTCGTTGTGTGTGAGTGCAAGTTGACTATGTGTCTTGACTTCGAAGTCGTTGGTGTTACCAGGATGATCCAAGTCATGACACAAGGCAGCGATGAGCATGGCAAAGATCTCCACTCGAGCGAAGTACGAATGCGCTACACCGGAGCGACGAAGCAGACAATACGTCGCGTGTGTGACTTGGAAAGCGTGTTGCAGGTTGTGGTAAGCGTTCGGTCGGTAATGAGACGCCACATGTGAAAGAAACGTCGAGAAGGTGTCCTGTGCCACCTGGAAACGCTCCAATAAACCAAGCGAGTGAAAGAGGACTGACACTGCTGCGAAGATGTCTGCGTTGGAGAGATCCAGACAGCTAAAGTCCCAACGTGTCACGTCACCGACACCAATCACATGTCCATTCTCTCGGGGTGTTGAGATTCGTCGCTGAGGGTTTCGCGGAGGGAACGGGATAGCAGCAAATGGTGTCGTGTGCTTGTCCTCGTCGTCTAGATCGCTCTCTTCTTCGTCGTAATCCCCGGCATTCGCATCATCCGTGTCTTCAACCTCATCGGGATCGTCAGCATAAGCGGCAGTTGCCATTTCCTCCAGAGCGTCGAGTTCGCTCGATTGACAGTATTTCTGCACGATTGATGAGACGATCTCGCCTTCATTCACGCCGTCCATTTGCTGCTCCTGCGATGGGTCAGCAGAGTCGAGCAGAGACTCACCAGGCGCGCTAAGGCCGCAGTCCGACACTACTTTATAGTACGAGATATCCAGCGACAATCGACCGAGTGCGAACTGGATTTCTCGACAGTACTGTGTCATACATTCGGCGTCACTTGTAGTGAAAGGCACACGATGTCTGGAATTTCGACGAGAAGCTTCGTCTTCTGTGGCGTTTGTAGCGCCATCGTCTTTCTTGTTGATGGCGATGACGACCGCCACGATCTTTGGGTTCGTGGGTGTGTGATCCTCAAATACGGGCATGCCAAGGACGCTTGTGGTACGGTATCCAGTCTTACGATCAAGACTAGGGTCGAAGTGTGGATGAGTGTAAGCGTCTCGTGTGTTGACAGTCTTCCCTGTTGTAGCGATAAGCCCCGAGAGGCCTTTGGTAAGCGGCATCCGGACTCTTTCTTCGTCTTCTTGAGTGATCCAGAGCTCTTTTTTCAACGGATCCACTAACAAGAAGCCGAAGCGGTCGCAATGAAGCAATTTTCTACCTTCTGCCATAACGACTCGCACAAATCTGGCGACTGAGGCTGCAGCACTGGTCTCATCTTCAGGTTCGTGACTGGAGTTGTTGTACGCTCGCTCCCCGTTGCTGCTCACGAAGTCAGCAAGTTGCAATCGAGCCTCAGTCAAGCGCTGTGACATCAACACTGCGCGTAGGAGGTTGGACTTGTGCAGCGAGATCCCTGCGGCTTCTGCGGCGTAATTGAGATACAACGCGTCGTCCGCTGTAAACTCGTCTCCGTCCACCTTGTTGGTGGCGCTCACGACTGCCAAGACTTGACCACTCGCATCTTTGACAGGCGCACAAAGCACCTGCTTCGTCTTCAGTGATGCCCAGAACTCGTCGTACTTTGGGTCGAACGCTTGGTGTGTTGGAGCCGCATTGGTAAGTATAAGCTGTCCAGTGCGCATGACGACGCCGACGATACCGTTGTGTGCTTTCAAGAACCTCTCGTCATATCCAGTATGGGACTTTTCGGTGGCTTTGTCCTTCAGTTTGTGTCTGGTTTTGGTGCCTGGAGATCCTGTAGTAAACATCTCGTCTTTACTATCAGTGACGAAGAGATAGAAGTCGTCGGTGCCTTCATCGCGCACGTAGAGTGCGATGTGCTCTGCATGTAGCAGCTCATACGCTACTGCGATGATTTGGTGGAGTACGGCTGAAGCGCTGACCTCGGCTGCGATGTTGCGATTAAGTTTAAGAAGACACTCGATGCGACTCTGCATGGCTTGATGGGCTTTGGCCAGCGATAAGTTCCATAAGGCCGTCCCCGCAGAAACGCAGATGTAGTCGAAGTTCTCTTTGTCGCGTGCATCAAAAGCTCCTTTTTGTTGCGCTTCCTGGTTACGACCAAGCCTTGATAGAGCTGTACGAGGAGTAGACGGATACCACTGAGACTCTGATGGAGTAGCATGGCCTTCCTCGGGTAGTATCTTGCGAGTAATGACCTGGAAGACGCCGACTAATACTCCGTGGACGTTAAAAATGGGGGCACAAAGCAGAGCTTCTGGCTCGAACTCAAGCACTTGCATCTGCTCTTCAAACACGTCGATGACCTCAGAGCCGCTGACGTCTGCGACCTCGAGAGGTGTTCCTGTCTTAGACAGTGCGGCACTGGTTAGACGATGGAGTTGTTCATGACGAATACTTAAGTAACATTTACCAACACGACGCGACCAAACGTAGTGGCTGAGTCGACGAGAGCACTGCCTTCCTCGATGAGATAGCGCTTACCGGGTAACTCCATTGGTGGGTTGGAGTACAGCTCTACACGATCTTTCTTTTCATTGAGGATACCCACCGTGTATTTCTCTGCCTGGAGAACGTGCTGTGCTGCACGAAGCGCGTTGCTCACAACGTCCGGGGCGTCAGACGCTCGGGAGATCTCACGCATCGCATCCATAAGAGCGCGGAGCTACGTCAAAGGATCGACATAGGCTGTAAATTTTATATTGCTACCGATATCAACACTCAAGACGTACGTTTTCCTCTCGATCTGCGAGCTGGTTGAGTGTCTCGGCCTGCTCTTCGATGAGATTGTGCATGCTAGCGCTAAACATTTCGCTCTTTGGCCGTGGACGTCTAGGCGCAGACTTAAGCATGTCACCAGGTCGATACGGTCGATTCTCCACGCGTGACCCACTGCAGCAGTCCAGTTGATGCTGTCGCTTGAGGAGCTTGAGCTCAAGCTCCTTCGCCTCCTCCTCGAACTGCTCCAGCTCCGCTGTCAGTCGGCGGTTCTCGTCTAGCGCTGTTCTAGCCCCGTGCATGGCTGTCTTAAGCTCTCGAACGGGCACCCGCACCAGCTTCACCTCGTCATCCGACATGCTGCACGGAAATCGAATAACTGCTCGAGTCGATGTTGAAGTTTTCGCCCCGTCAGTGACGGGGCGAAAACCAGGACATTTTTGTCATGTGACGGGCCGTCACATGACAAAAATGTCCTGGATTTCTTAAATTCTTTCTTAAAACTTACTTTAAAAGATAAAAAAGAGTAACATTTGAAATTTTACCATTTGACAGAACAAATCACAATTCAAAGCGGTGAAATTCCAATGCCAATGGAATTTCACACTGATTAAGTAGGTGAACACTGGGCGGCAAAGGCTACCTTGACGCACTAGCTGTATTCTCACGACAGCAAGCTCTCGTCTGAGGGAGTTCTATGCCGCAATCGCTGAGGGATTTCTTCTCTTTCCTCCCTTTCGTCTAATTTCTTCGTCAAACGATTCGTTAAGTTCGATTCAGCACAAATTGCCATGAGATAGCCAAGACCATTGCTCTAAATCCAGTCTACATGTCCTCCAATGACCATTGCTCTAAAACCAGCGTGCAGGGAACCCAAAAATATAATTTACATCAATTTCAAAAAGATATAGATGAATATAGTGATCTTTCCGACAGATAAATTTTATAGCTACGACCAGAGTGGGTTAAATAAGCTTATTAGCCAATCACCTGTTCTTATTTCGGTGCAGTATGTGCTAGGGGTAGGGGCTGGACTCCAACACTTTCCGACATATATTTGTCGGAAGTCAAGGCAGAAATATGAATATACGAATACAATAATCAAAATATTTGCCAAATATTCCACCAATTCGGACATCTAGGCTAAAGCAGGAATATTTGCCAAATATTCTACCAATTCGGACATCTAGGCTAAAGCAGGAATATCCCTAGGAGTTCAATAGATGACAGCCACTCCTTACTTTTCAAAAAGTAGAAGAGAAAGCTCAGCATGAGCCTCTCGGCCTTCGTTCCTACGAACACGCAAAAGGCGCGCTCAACTGCAATTGCAGCATTCAAGCGGATGCTGGAGGAGGAGCATGTTAGTTTGGAATTTGTCCAAGCTAGCATTCTTCTCGACACCTCTGGCAAACGCTTAGCGGCAACAATGGACCGATTTGGTTTCTATTTGACCACTAACGAAGGTAAGAAAGGTAAGCTTGCAAGGAACACTGCGTCCTCATACTATAGAAACGTAAAGCTGTGGCTATTCGATGTGTATCCTCACTTGCGTGTAGCTACTGAATTGATATTGTTAAAGCAAGGAAAGACATTAGATAAACACTGCTTAGAACGTAAAAATGGAGGGTTAACTAGCAAAGCTCCTCCTTGTACTAAAAATGACTTAAAGGCTTTAGTACGTTACGTTTACAGCAATGCACGAGTCAAAGCAGACTACCAAGACGTTGCCATGGCGTGCTTGATGTGGCACTACTTTGGTCGATCATCAGACCTCTGCTACGTTCAGAAGCAACATGTGTCGGTGTCATCGGACGGCGTGTTTTATCTGCGTTTGCTCCGCGTAAAGACTTCCGAGGACCAAGGCCTTACACCTGTCCCCGACAAGGACGACTTCTTGACGTGTCCATTGCACTCGGTAGCAGTAGCGCTGGCAACACAAGAAGCCCCTAGCCCGTCGCTACTTGATCACTCGCCAGCGCTCCACAGACAAGTGCTTCGCTTGATGCTGGAGCTCCACTGCACGACTTGCTTTCCTTGACCCCCGACACACTCCACGTTGCGTAACCCCGCGTCCTACAAATCCTCAAGACACAGTTAGCAGAAACTCACCCGCTCCAATCCCGACACTGGACAAAGGTGTGAAACGAGGCGAGGACAGCATGTAGAGCCACGTAAACAGGATGCTGAAGCGCGTAACCGATCCTGCAGGAGTCAAGGCGGAGCTGAGTTCTCATTCCTTTCGCCGAGGAGGTGCCGAACACGCTAATGGCGACGACCGACTTGCTGCTCAGTGGATCTTCGACCGTGGTGCTTGGGATATGACGAAGACCAACAAGGCCTTTGCCTATATCACCAACACCGCGCGGGAGGACAGGAAGGTGGCGCGCGTCTTGAGCGGCTGGAGTGCTGACGCTCCTCCTAAGGGGAAAATCTAAGGAGCTCGAGGCTACGGAGCTCGAGGTGTGATAAAAAATGCAGTACGACCAAATTATACAAATTGGTGGTCTATTTAAAAAAAAAGGTGGATCATTTAACTATTTAGGTATTCACAAATTATATTAAATATTGTCATGATGTAAACTTGATTTTTGCAATTACTAATATATCTTTTTGTAGTATTTGGGGGTTGTTTGTACGAATGACATAATAAATTTGATCTTTACATGAAATGCTATCTTTTTAACGCAATCGAAAATCGCGTAGAATAAATAAATCAAAAAGTTACATTTTTCAAAAACAAATAGTCAATCAATTTGGAAAGTTTTTCGTATTGTAAATTTGTTTTATTCGCGGTTCAGTGCTCGCAGTCGCTGTTCGAGCTGGTAGAGGGTGATTGGTGATGTTGAAATACAGCCACCCGGGATCTGTAGCAGTAGCTTGTCCAGTACTTCGATGAGAGAGTCGTGTTTCAACGAAATGCTCCACTTACGACGCAAATAATACGTCCTATTTTGAATTTTGCGACGCTCCTTTTTTTTTTGACGCTGTTTGATTGCGCCCTTGCTGCAATCACGTTTTTTTTTCGTGTCTATTTTTCGAATAGACAGTTGAAAATACCTTTCGGAACTTGTTGCAGCGTCGCTTGGGTAAGGGCCCAGGCTGGCCTAAGCTCTTCCTCTTCTTCGTTGTCGCCTCCATTTTCTGGAACGAGAGAATGGCGAGGGCGGACTAACTGCATTGTTGAATTGTAATTTACAGCGTAACAGTTGTAATTGATCGATTGTCAATTCCAAATTGTCATTTGCATTACATGTATTATAATGTATTTATTATTTGGTTTGAAAAGCAACGAGACCAATTGACCTTTTTTTATATTACTTACACGTCGAGCTCCGTAGCCTCGAGCTCCTTAGATTTCCCCTCCTAAGGTGATCGACACGGCTTTGCTGGACTGCACGGCGCTCGAGCATCTTGAATGGTTACAGGAGCTGTTGTTCGCCACCTGTACAGGTCTCAAAGAGCGCAGGCTAAACGTGAGTACAAAGGTTCTCAGCGTACTCACAGCTTACCTTGTCCGACACTATCCTCAGCTCAAGGCTCTTGCCCCTGGATCACCCATAGTCATGCGCGTTGAAGAGTGCCTGGCTGCTGCTGACATCTCCCTTGCGGACTTGCTGAAGCGCTTAACGGGAAAGTTGATGTACCTGCTCAAGACAAAGAAGAAACCCAAGAAGCAACGCACACGTGTCCGGCAATGAATCATCTTTTGGCTGTCATTCAAGAGTTTGTTGCATCCAATCGTGTCCTAGCAGAGCGCATGACCATCGTCGAGGCCGCGCTACTCAAGTCGAAGTCCAGCTGTGTAAACAAGGCAGCAGCTGAAGAGCAACAAGCAAGAATCGTCGGATCAAAAGCCAAAGCCTAAGCGAAGGAAAAAGCAAGCAACGAACCTGTCCGCCACGTGGTGCGAGTGGTACACTAAGGCGCCTCCAGTGTGGAACAGTACTGACCGTCAAAAGAAGTCCGAGTCGCGCCACGTCGTCGCATTCATGAAGATCTTCTTGGCAGATGGCATCGCGTTAGACATCCAAGCTGAGGACTACAAAGAGCAAGTTCTCGACGCCGGTCGCAGGGCAGAAGAAGCTGTTCTCGGATTTCTAGAGTCGCAAGGCGTTAATGCGAAGGGAGCTGGCAGTGTTCTGTACGCGCTACGACCATTTTCCAAGCCTGAAGCGTTGGATGATCGCATAAGCGCGTACAAGCGCCTTTTTGCCACCGGAAGAATAGTTAACCCTGCTCCAGCAGACACTAAAGACATACTCACCGTGGTACATAACGCGCGGCAACCTAAGAACTCAGCAAATATATAATTGGAGCGGTGACATTGCAAACGTAGATTATTAGTGAATAAAAACTACGTAGCCTGGTCGAAGCCGCCTAAAAGCAAGTATCCACGGTAGTCACATCCCAGTACGCATCGCTGACCCTTAGAAAAAGTATCATCTCCAGCGTAAACGAAGATAGCCTGTTGCGTTCGTTCCGTAGCACCATGCGAGCCGAGCTGAACAGCCGCTCGACAATGTTGGACGTCGGTGGGTTGACGTCCAGCAGCTCGTACTCGCATGGTGTGCCTTGCGTCTTGCGCCTCTTCAGAATCCTGTCGGCAAAGCCCATCTTGGTCGGCTCCGGCGCTGGGACAGAAGGCTTAGACGGCTTCTTCAGAGGATGAAGCGCCGCGCGGTCACCCCAGGACAGCCGCTTGACCTGACCTGACAGTACTTTTACCCCTCCCGACTCAAAGTCAGGCGAGTGTACAATACCAGCGTTTAGTTCTACATCAAAAAAAGTAAGAAAAAAATAAGTAAATAAATAAAGTAAGCAAATGACTTACCCAGGTAACTGGAAAAGGACGGCTGAATCTCTAGCAAACCATCGAGTAGGTCGCGATCATCCAGCAAGTTGAGGTCATCGCAGTGAAGCTTCTTCAATACGGACTCCACGTCCGATAGCTGGTCGTTGAGCGCCCTCAGCTTGAGGTGTGCTACTGGGGTGGGCAAAACGTCAGCAATGTTTTCATCGTCAGCGCTGAGGAACTCGCGCAACTCAAAATAGCGCGCGAGCATCGAGTATGTAGACCACCGTCGTGTTTCTTGGCGCAGCTTGGGCTTCAGAGAGGTCTTCAGTCTGTGTGGACCATGCACAAAAGAAGATATGTATTGTCAATTATTGTCATTAAATAAAAATATCAAGAATAACACAAAATACGTACCGTATCTTTGCAGCTTGTTTGATCGTGCGCAGGTGTTTCATGAGTAGTTGTACCTGATCAAGTTCCTCCTCGTATGGAGCCAAAAAGTTGCGAGCGGCCAAATTTAGCCAATGGCTGGCACAGCTTACCAGCGGGATCTCCATAAGTCTG